CACGTGAATTTGTGGTTCTGGAACCCCAGTTTTGATGCTTGGGATTTAAATCTTCAATTAGAATAAGAAAATGTCCTGAGTGATTGAAGAGCAGAGTGAACTGTATATTGGATATGGATTGTCTAAGAGCAAGTCTGAGTGAATAACAGCAAGTCTTGATAACTACAGCGGTGGCTTCTAGCACTAGCGGATTCAGGATTTAATTTTGGGAGGGGCTTCAGCCCGGAAGGTTTTTTTTTTTCATATATATAACGATAATTACATTTATGATAATTACAGAAAGATACTAACTACCTATATGAAACGGTGTTTAAGTGATTCTTGAAGTCCTATTAAATTTAATTAAACGAACAATAATACTGTAAGACATAATTTTAAAATATTTTTTACCATAAAACACGGTTACATTTTACCATTTTGGGGGGGGGGAAGGCTTCAGTCCGAAAGCTCCCCCGTAAATCCGCCTGTGGCTTCTCGTAAATCATGAGTAGGCTTAGAAATTAAACGGTGAAAAAGAGCCTGATGAACAATGCTCTCTCGTACGCCAAGTATTGCGGTATATTGAAAAACTGTTTAGAGGTTAGTCGAGTTCACATCAACGATTTTGTCAAGTAAAAAGATTTAGAACGTTAGTTAATTGGTATGATTTTTAGTACCATTCGCATTTGAAAGGAGAATGGATACTGATTTATTAGAAATTATTAAAGTTATTTGATGCACCGGAAGATTAGGGTATGATTTGTCTACTTTTATGTTTTTTAGATTCTTTTTATGACATTTATTTTACAATACTTTGTGATGGCTTCAGGTCGACGAAAAACATTCGCAATGGGAGTTTGTTTTATACTCAAAACTCTTCTCTATTTTCTTTTAAAACATTTGTTTTTTGTAAAGTAGTCGGATTAAATTTTTAAAACTTATTTTTCGCATAGTATATTACAATGTTTTCTATAGGTTTGGACTTGTACATGTTTATATAACTTTATTTATTCCTTCCTTCCTTGCCTTTCTGCTACACAGAGATTTTGCAGGGATAGCATATCACACAAGTGCATGCCATTCCTGCTACTAAACAACAAATACATTATCAATTTTGGGTACTTGTAAGTGACAGGGGCTCTTTGGACTGCTATCTGCCAATGTTTATAACCTGAACACTGATAATTGAGATAAGACACTGATAATCCCTGTCTGCCAATGTTTATAAGCTGAACACTGATAATTGTTATAAGGCACTCATAATCCCTATCTTCATATGAAATTAGACTCTCCTATAATAAGAAATATAAATATATTTGATGTTGCCTCATTTTTGCCTGTTTCATATTAATAGGAAATATAAATATAATAATAATACAGTAATTTAATAATAACAAATATAAATAACAACAAAACTTTAAATAACAAGATAACTGCAGATAGCAGTCCATAGGGCCCGCGTCGCTAACAAGTACCCAATTTTGTTTTGTTTTTTTCAAAAACTCTTCTTTTTTCATTATTTTCTTTTCATCATATTAGTCTGGCGGCCTTCCATTAGCAGGTCTTCTCCTTCCTAGATTAAAGTGGGAGGGGCCCAGAGCAGCTTTCCACCCGTACACAAAATCTTTGTAATACAGGTAGTTCTGCTTTGCAACTAACTGGGGAAATTCATTCGCTATGAGGCCATAGACTCCAATTTTTTTCATCATTTCGGCCCTTGGTCCATCAAAGGTGGTGTTATTGACTAGGACGTGCTCAGCTGTCTCCGGTACTCCGCAAGTGGGGCATAGGAGATCTATGTCTTTTCCAAAACTATGTAACTTAGCGAGGAAACCTCTATGCCCAGTAATGAATGGAGAGAGAGATCCAGTAGTCCAGCAGAACCCACTTCGTATTCAAGCGACTTCGAACGGTGGAGAACTATAAAATTGTTTATATAATTGTAAAAATTATTGGAATATACTAATGTACTTAAGATGACTTACATGATTTTTATCCACATTCTCTGATCAATCCTTCTGTCTCCAACTTCTACAAACCACCATCTGACGTGGTAGACTTACCCGCCTTCTGAACTTTGGCTGGCCCATTCGGGCCTGGGAACGTCTTTCACTTATCGCTGTTTCAGGTTTGGATTGGAGGGTAACCAACAATCCCCAACCAAGTTCAAAACACCAACAGGTGTTGATGAACTGCCTGTTCCACACCCCACTAAACTCCAAATAAATAAATATTTTTTTAGGCCTGTTTTCGACACAAGTCGGTATCTTTTTGTAATTATTGATTTTGTAAAAATGTATCGATAAGAAAAATTAAAATATGGAAATAAATGGTCTAAATACAGATTATCCAAAATATATATATATTTTTTAGAATCTAATAGAAACAGTCTACTTATTAGATTTTTATAATTTTGTAGTTCAGTTCCAAATTATTTTTTAACTTATAAATGTTTCTTCTAGCAGTTCTTGTATAACTTTTCTTTACGATATATAATTTTAATAACTAGTCTTGTCATAAATATTGTTACAAGGAAATATATACAGATTTCAACAGAAAAATTATTTTTTTCAAAAACTTTATTTGAAAATAAAATGTTTATCTATAGAGAGTAAAACAAAAAAGAAATTACTAAAAATTTCCCTTTTGCCTTGACACAGGCATTTAATCTCTGTGGCCAGACATCAACAGCAGCATGCAGCACATTTTGAGGAAAGCGCTCAACTGCTCGAACCAGAGATTGTTTGGAACTTTCCAAGTTAGGGTTTATTCAATTGTAAAAATTTTCTCATGGCTAAATAATTCTGTCGATGAAGACCATTGGTGTAATAGCCAGTCCACTATACATTTTTTTAGCGAGGTGGTTAGCCTTTGTCTTGTTATTCTTCGAAACGCTAAGGTCACTTTTCATCTTGAGAGACATTGATCTGACAGAGATTCCCGTTGCCCAAGACATGATTTGTTGTTTTCGAATGGGATATCTTCTGATTCGAGCAGCCACTGCTCTCACTACATTTGCCGTTCTCAGTTCTCACAAAGTCGAGGTCTGTCACATACAGATAGGGCCTCATTATATCTAATTATTTATAGTGCGGTACACAAAGATACGACTGATACCCAAAGGTTTCAAAGTATTGAAAGTTCTGACCTACATTTTCCAATTTTGTGTAAGGCGATCAGCTACTCTTTGGTACCCCAATCATCATCTTTCTATTTTTCATCTTATATTTCGTCAACAGGTTAATCAATTTAAGCAGTTTCATCAATTTTTTAACTGTTAGGAGATAAACTAAAAGTAAAACGAGGTTGAATAATTTTCCTACTTTTCATTTCAGAATATATACTCGAAGGAAGTAACACGAGCTAGAGAAGTTAGGAACAGAGGACATGAAAAACCGTGTTGTGAACACAATAAGTCAGAGGGACAAAGGGACTGCCTGCACTGGGACGGCTCTGAACTAGGTCCTCTGTTACCCCTCCTCTGTGCTCAATTAACGGCTGGTCGATTTTTTTTTGTCAACAAATTCTGAGGTTTCCTTTCCCTTTTGTTTTTAATAATACTGAAGGCAACCATTGTATATTGTTTTCGTTGGATTTGGACTTGAGGTGAAGGAACAGTAGCTCAGCATCCACGTCAATCGGGACTAGACACAAACTGAGCTAGATTAAATTTGTGAAGACGGCTCTGAACTAATTGATATGTATCACCTATGTTCCCCTCTGTTATACTTATCTTGCATCGTGTGCTGTGCTTGCCCTGCGCTCAATTTGCAGCCGGCCTTACATATACAGACGATATAGTATTAGTAGCAGATACCCTGCAGAAACTATAAGTAGCAGTAAATGAATGGAGTGAAGAGCTACAGTTGAGAGAGATGATTATAAATGCTGAGAAAAGCACAGCTTTGATGCTTAGAAGAGATGATGGAGTGGAAGCAGTTATCTGTAATGGAGTACTTCTTCAATTCCTAGATGCCTATGAATATCTGGGTTCAATAATCAGCAAAGATGGCAAAGTAGATCACAAGGTAGTTCACAGAGTGAAAACAGCCAATGGAGTATAATTCCAAATATGCTCCATAGTCATTGGAAAGAAAGAAATGACAAGACAAAGCTCCTGCTATTTAAAACAGTATTCCTTCTAGTTTAGCTGTATGGAGAGGAATGTTAATTATCTTTGGACCGGCTTGTGAGCAAAGTGACTGCAGCAGTATCTTAAGAAGGATCCGGAGGAAATCCCGAAGGGACTGGATTCGTAATGAAAATATCTGGGAGAAGCTCAGGGTCTCATCTGTTGGAAAGGTAGTGGAGCAGTGCCAACTGAAATGATTGATGGAGGGCAGACCACAAGGAAAGCGAGGTCGGCCAATGCAGATATACATGCAATATCTCACAAGGCTTGGGAGAGTAAGAGACTGCTCACTGACAGAAGTGAAGGACAGTGACAATTGGAGAAGATAGATGGAGGCTAAACCCTCACAACTGGAGGCAACTTAGAGGTAGAGAAAGAAGTTTTGGTCTTATCAACTTTTTCTTTCTCTGTTTTTGTTGCTTAGTAGCAAGTATGTAGTTTTATCATTCTTTGTTAGTCATGCATATTTTTTTTAATAATTAATTTTTTTAAAATTTCATTCTTTCAATGTAATAGATCTTTTAGCCAGAAGTAATCTGTCACATACTGACATCGAACACATACCATGGAATTTGTGAAAGGTTGACAGTTTAGTTCTTTTTACCTGCATTTTAGAGAATCTAAGTTTTGTGTTAGGAATTTTCTGATTATAAACTAATATTATTTGTCTCTTTTTTATTTTTTGTTCTCTTATATTAATAATGATAATTTAAACAAATTATTTTAATCACTAAATTATATATTTTAACAATTGATAATAAGTTTCAGAAAATGTTTTAAATTCAGTTAATTTAAATTAATTGTTAATGGCGTTATATAATAACATATATACCAACTTGCTTTGACAATAATATTATAATTACAATATTGTTTTAGGTAGTAACATGACAAAAAACAATCACAAAAGACAAAGAAATTAAAATAAATAAAATAAAACAATGGATAAGGAAACTAATAATTTATTAATAATAAAATTAAAATAAAATAAACTCTTTTACATTTTCATTAAACAATAATTTTACACTTCATAAAATGAAGATCATATAATATGACATTTACTTGAAGAATTTTTTCACTATTGCGGTTTCTCGAGTGGCATTTGTGTATATTGTCCCTGCACAAATAATAAAATGACAGACAAATTAAAACTATAGCAAAGATAGAATAAGGAAAAAAGTTTAATGATTAACAATATAATGTAATCAACAATAAATTAGATTTTAGTACAAAATATTATGTACACATGCATAAAAATGGTCTCCCTAATAAAACCTATCTTGTTTTTATCAGAAAAATGAAATACAGTCGGATATAATGAATTTCTTAGCATTTAAGTCAAATAGTTCTTTTGTATTTAAAACATAACTTCTCTGCAAGATAGGGAAAGATATTTTACAAACATTCTTCAGCTTTCCCTCCAGGTGTAAAAAGATTCCCACCAGGCCCTAGACAGAGGCAGTGAGTAGGCCATAAGGCTCTTGAAATCTATCCCACAGCCTAAGTTGAGGGTCATAAACCCATCCCTTAAGGCAGATTTTTACCTGTTCAAGTACACTTGTCCCCTTCAGTCAGTACCAAGTCAGGCCTTGTACTCAAAAGGGTTCCAGATATTCAAGGAAGAATGTTTCCAAAGCTTTAAGGAGAAGTAAGTCATACATATGTATACTAATGTTTAAGTAAAAAAAATTCAAGGGTGGAGACCATATCTAACAACCTTTTCTTTACTTTTACTCATATACAAATACAATTAAAATCATTCCAACTTTTCAAGACTTTAATTCTTTTTCTTTAGACAGATGTATGAAGTTCCCTAAAAAATTGTAAAACTATAAAAAAAAAAAAGGTAATTTTTGTTTTATTAAATCAATAGTGTTTTCATATAAAATATAATTAATGTTTTGCAATCAAATTTTGAAACAATAAAAAAAAGTGAACACCTCTTCTCTTCCCCATTAAGAAAGTCACTATTACAAATTAAAATATCACAAAAATGTATTATTAATTTTTTTAAAATGTACCTATGATGGCTCAATATTTTATCTTTATTGCCTTCTTTCATTACTTTGTTGCATATTACTTGACATATTTCAGTGTTTTTTGCAGTATATAAATCTATGCCTTAATTATTAGAAATGGAAGATAGAACAGACCTATAGGGATGGTGTAAAAGAGTCTTGGTGTATGATCTCACTTATTAAGAATGGTATCTAGAAGATTGACCTGAAAAAGAACGACTTTACCACTATGGAGATCTTAGCAATTAAGAAAGTTAAAACATGTCAGCATGACATGTTTATCTTCATTTAATGAAGCAAAAAGTTTCTTTCTATATTATCTGAACTGCTATATAGTCCTCACCAACACCCACATTTTAGTAACGCACGATAGGGCATAAATAAATAAATGGGACACTTCGTCCAAGTTCTATAGAGGGGAGTAGGGTGAAGATTTAGGATGACGATACAAAATGGTTTTTAATTTTGTAGTTGGTAAGTGTAGGATATAACATTTTGTGTTTTAGTAGTTTTATAATTTGTCTGTAATCATCTGGAGTAGATGGAAATATTCTTGTCTGGTATGTATCAGAAAGACAGTAAAATCAGTAAGGTCTGACTTCTGCTGATAAATTTTGGCATAATTCATTAAAGTTTTTAAATTAATAGGTATATTGATGGAAGTTGATTGACAGCCTTTGAATGATGGAAGTTGATTATTTGTCTTGAGTGTTGGACGAGATAGGAGTGGGTTTAGGTGCAATATTGTTAGATTAGAAACATTTGTTTGTTTAGAGACTTTGTTGGTTGAGGTAACATTCATTTGTTTAGAGACAGACAATTTCTGGTTGTTCACTTTAGTAAGAGTAGGAGCTTCTGGTTTGTCTTGTTTAGAAAGGTTGATGAAAGCAGGAGTTCGTTTATTGTTAGTAGATACTTTTGCTTTTTGAACTTTTGTCATTCTGCAAGTCTAATTGTGAGTTGCTATTGGAGGGATGAACTTTTTTATACAAAGCAGTCAACTTCTTTCTTGTAAAACAAACAAAAATAATCACTAACCTACTGTTTTCGAAGAGAGAGTATTTCTTTTTGAATCAACTTTTTAAAGTTGTTCTTCTTGTATTCAGCAATCAATATTTTCTTCCTTTAGAAATGGATCCTGAACTTAGAAATGGATGGATACTGAGTAAATTTCGGTTTAAAGTTTAAATATCGATTCAATTTTTATAGTAACTTAGACACTTAGATGCATTTACATAACTTTAACATTCATTTACTTTATTTCTATATTTTAATTATTAAAAAAATGAATGGTTAAGTTATAAGATCCTTAAAAACTTAACAAGAAACAGTATTAGTTATTAGAAATAAATTTAGCTTTAAGGTAAACAAAGATTTAACACTTTATTTTAGTAAAATCATTGTTTACAACAATAATATTTATCATTTAATTATAAATTGTTGATTACAATTTTTTTATATCAATTTCTAATTACCTATTCTCCCCAGTTACAGCTTTGCCTGCTCTGTTAATATAAAACTTAAAAAAATTGATCTAATAATTTAAATATCATTTTTTGGTAATCAATCTGCAGTTTTCAGAAAAATATTGCAAGAGAAAAATAAATTTATTTTGCTTCAGAATAAGTTATATTTAAGTCATGTTTATGATTCATGATAGTTTTTGATAAACCAAAAATCTAATGAAAATGTAAACAAACGGGAATAATTGCGAGATCTCTTGAGCACTTCAGATAATAGAAAGAAATTCTTTGTTGTGTTTAATATAAATAAATAAATCATGCAGACATATTTTAATTTTCTTGAATGTTAAGATCGCCATAGCGATGAAGTACTTCTTATTCGGGTCAGCCTTCTACATACCACTCTTAATAAGAGAATTACAAACCAACTCATTTACACCAATCATATAGGTCTCAGAGAGTAGAATACTAGGTTAGTATAAGTTTTGAATTATCTATCTTTTATTGCTTAACAGAAGAGGTATTTTTATAGTATATTAAATTATTAAGTTAACTATTGAAGTAACAATATATGCCATTAAAAAGTTTGGAACTTCACCCATTCTATGTTTTGAATAGATTTTCTTGATAATAACATATTGTTTAGTCCAATAAAAATGTTTCTTAATTATCGCTTATACTTTAAAGGGATTAGAGAGAAAATATCTACTGCATGAGTTCTCGTAAGGGAATAATAATTAGGTGTAGTTAATGTATCGTCTAAACACACAGTCTATTGACAATATGTTTTAAATTTCTATCTGTTAGAGGATTTTATTATCTTAAAACATTCTCGTAACAACAGCAACAATTTTGAAAAAAATAAAATAAATAAATAAAAAATAAAACAAGTTTGCATAATAAAACAAATACAAATGTTTGTATATACCTCCAGTAGTTTTAGCAATTACATAATGAAAAACAGGCGGTTCTTTTATTGAAATGTAGGAAATTATTTACTCAAGAAAAGATGCTCTAATTTTTTTATGTCAACAGTAACTGTATCCTAATATAATTTTATGTTCCACTAATTATGAAGATAAAAGAGCTAGCAGAGAAAATAATCTATGACATAGATTTCTTTGCTATCATAGTAAATTTAAAATACGTTTCTTATTTATTCTTTATTACCACATGTTTATTGATTCTTTAGGGACCTAGTCCTTGAATAAAGTTTGATTTCTTTTCTGTTCTATATTATATTTTTAATAATTAAAGCCTAGATTTATATACTATAAAAGCATATGAAAAAAAAAAAAAATGCAACCGAGTAATGAAAGAAAGTAATAAAGATAAAATATTGAGCCATAGACACATTTAAAAAAAACTAACTATAAATGATGATTTCACAATTTACGTTTTTCATATTTATGATTTTTGTATTATTTTAATAGTTACTTTGTTTTCTAATGGTGACTTTTCTAATGGGGGCTTTACAAGATAAGAGAGATTTAGTTACTTTTTTTTAATGATGTAAAAATTTTATTGCGAAAACATCAAACGCATTTTAAAAGTTAATTACACACACACACACATATATATATTTTCAAATGATTATCTGTAGTTATACACTTTATAAATATATATATATATTTTTTTTTTCAAATAATCAACAGTTATGCAATTTTTTAAAATATTTAAATACAATTTGAACCAAACACTCTGGGGCCCTCACACCAAAGTTCTCTATATATGATAATGTAATATATGTTTTATTTTTTTAATTCTTAAAAAAATTAGTAATAAATTGAACTGCATTAGATGAATATCCAATTAGGTTTTTTGAAAGAAAAAAAAAATAATAAGAATATTAAATAAAATTTATAAATAAATGTGTAAGACAATGAATTTTAAACAATTTTATTAGAATAAATTATGGTATTACGAAACTTGAAGACATAATTTAAATTTTAAAATAATAATAAAATTTTATTAATATTACTGACTGGAGTCAATGTCAGAAACAAGGTCAGGGTTGAATAAAAGATAAGATTAATAAGAATGGAGATATGAATTAGACATTCCTCAGACAAAGAGCACCACAAAATATTTAAATATCAAATAAATTATTAATATATATATATATATATATTTTTTTTTTTACACTATTCAGTATTTTTAGTAATAGTGGAGGAGAAAGCGTTTATCTCAATTTAAGAAACTAATAAAAGAATACATTTTTTATTGACAAACTCTGAAAAAATGATATTTTTCTAAATTATAACTTATTGTTCCAAAAACTGAAATAAAAATATTAAAGATCTCAAAGGTTCCAATCATATTTTATTTTAGTTAGTTTCATTCTGGTGCTTCATGGTCTTTATTCGCCTGACTCTATTTTTGAAATATTTATGCATACAATAATGGATATTACTTCTTAAAAATATTTATTGGTGGTAAATTACATTTCCCCTAATACTTCAAAACAATCAATAATTCACTCAGTATTTTGAAAATTAACTTCATCATTAATGAAGGTAGCCTTAAAAACTAATATACGAAATTAAAGATGTGAAATTCAAAATTAATAATCTTTTTAATTCTACCTAATTATTTGTAATATTAAATAAAACTTTCTCTAATTTAACTTAGATGTATTTATATAACTTCAACATTTATTTAGTTTATTTCTATATTTTAATTATTAAAAAAATGAATGGTTAAGTTATAAGATCCTTAAAAACTTAACAAGAAACAGTATTAGTTATTAGAAATAAATTTAGCTTTAAGGTAAACAAAGATTTAACACTTTATTTTAGTAAAATCATTGTTTACAACAATAATATTTATCATTTAATTATAAATTGTTGATTACAATTTTTTTATATCAATTTCTAATTACCTATTCTCCCCAGTTACAGCTTTGCCTGCTCTGTTAATATAAAACTTAAAAAAATTGATCTAATAATTTAAATATCATTTTTTGGTAATCAATCTGCAGTTTTCAGAAAAATATTGCAAGAGAAAAATAAATTTATTTTGCTTCAGAATAAGTTATATTTAAGTCATGTTTATGATTCATGATAGTTTTTGATAAACCAAAAATCTAATGAAAATGTAAACAAACGGGAATAATTGCGAGATCTCTTGAGCACTTCAGATAATATGCTTTACAATGAAACATGCCAAAAATATAATAACAACTTTCTGCAATTAGGGTAATTTTTTGAAATGAAAAGAAAATCTTTCATTATTAAATACTCGCCTTTACTAAGTTCCACATAGTAGCAATAATTGGTGGAGTAAACAATTTAGAAAACACAGAAAATGGTTATATTTGAGGAATATAATTTGAGAATAATCCACAAATTAGTGTGAATAGGTATATTATTAAGATTAAAAAAATAGTAATTACCAATCAATTTAGTAGGAGTTTGAGCATCCCTGAAACTGATCACTTGACACTGTCCACAATCCTCCGTTAAAGATTCTAAATAGCTGATAGCCTCATCACCAGATGAATGATTGTTAGTATACCTAGCGAGACCCGAGAAAGGGTTGATGAAGTCAGCCCAGAAACCAGCCATTTTAAGCTCCCGACATATTTGTTCAGCTATACAAACAAACTGAAAAAAAAAAAAAAAAAAGATGAATATGCATGTAATAAATAAATAACAACAGTTATTTAAAATTATTTAAAATACAAGGAGGATTCTCCTGAAAAAAGGGTATTTTATAATAAATTCTTTATTTGTAAATACTTTTATGCCAAATTTTTATCACTTTCTAAGTAATTTCCATTGACTGTAATGTACCTATCAAATCGTTTCTGCCATTGTTCTACTTTTTTTTTTTACCTGTACTTACCTATAGTATGTAACATATAGTAAGGGTAAATATTGCAATCGCGAAAATTTTCAAATCTGAGTTTTCAATGGAAATACATGTTTTGAGGTCCCCTGAGTCCAAATACCTAAGCCCCTCAAAATGGTGTGTGTGAACATTCTAGCTCAAAAATAAAAAGTCCTAGGAAACTGACATTGCGTATTTGAGGTTTTTATAAGTCAGAGATGTTACAGCAACAATTTGGCCAAAATCGGCAAACAGGAAGTGGTACTTTATATTATCGATTTAACACATTTTTAGGATTTTCTCAAAAACAGCGCTAAGAATTTTGATTAAATTGAGTATATATCAGTGAATTATTAAGCTGTTTTAACCATTACACATTAATCTTTGATATAAAATATAGCTAAATATAAAATATGAAAGAATTTGATAATTAACTAAAGGAGAAACAAGAGATTGTAAATAGTTGTAATGGAGGAACTAAAGGAAAATAAGCGCGCCCCAGCTCGCCCGAAAGATTAGAACAGCCTTCCATACGTAACATGAGCTTAATATAATACCACCCCGAAAATATTATGCACATATACATATGTGGTTTTTATAAATTGTTGGTATTATTTAATATTTAATTGTATAGATTACAGCGATTTAAAAATAAAAATTATAGAGTGTTGTGTGAAGTGTGCACATGATTTTTTTTTTAAATAACAGAAAAGTGAAATAAAAGCTAATAACCAAGAAATCAGTTTTGTTGAGCACTAGTTATATAGGACATCTCATTTAAAGATAGAAAAGATGAAATGAAAAATAAACATAACAACAAAATAACAAAACAAAAAATAAGTAATGATAGGTCATGATTAGACAATTCTAGACTAACTTTAATGATGCTATAATAACATATCTACCAACTTGCTTTGAGAATCGTTCAGCATCCTCATCGGAGCACAATCTGGGTTTTCTCAAAGACACTTTAACAACAGTTATTGGAACATTAAAACCCAATACTTCAGGAACTGGAAACAACTCTTGAAACCCTAAAAAATATATCAAAGGTTACTAAAACAATTTATTTAATTTTAAATATTTGTCAAGAAAAATTAACCTTAATTTATATATAAAGTTATTTTACATTATAATAAAACTTAAATAATAGGGGGGCTATTGTTTACATTTATTTTTTTCAATAATGAACCTTTGGAATCGACCAAGAAAAAAATAAATTGTAATTTCTATATTATACTCAGTTGATCCCTAAAATTAGATCTGATTAGAGGCTTAACACACTCAAGCCAACGTAAAGAAACATCAAGCTAAATCATTTCTAAAATTTTATTAATAACTAATTAGAAATAATAAATCATAATGGAATGATTTATAGACACTTTAGAATTTTGTTTATTTATTTATATAACTTATGTTCATTGTGGAACTCATTCAAATATTGGTTCATTAATATTTCTTTAATTGAAAAGTGATCTTTTCGAATATAACTTCCTCTGAACGGAAACATATATAAAGACTGGACATCAATAATGGGTTAAGCCAGGGATTACCAAAATTATTGGTCCGTGGGACCACGTTGAGACCTCCATTAAGTCCCACGGGACGCATTGAGACCTCAACTAAGTCTCGCGGGCTAGTTAAGGAAAAAAAAAAGCTTGCTCCATAAATGACGTTTTAGTTGTGAAATGAGCTTTCTTAGAGAAACTAAGCATTCAATAAATGTAATTATCTTGTATTAGAGTGGTATACTGAATTTCATATTTTTAAAATAGTTTTGAATATTTTACCATGTAATCAAAGAAACTTTCATGGGCTGGATTAGAGGTTCTTGTGGGCCGTAGTTTGGAGACCCCTGTGATATGTTCTAAGCAAAAAAAATTGAGTGATACCTGAAAAAGCAAGCTTAATGTCATTAATAACAACCTAGAAAGAGGATTCAATTCCATAATCATAATACTGATTATCACTATCAATGATTGGCATTTATGCCGCTTCCTAAATTATTGGTGATGATATTCAGTTTGCTTTTTCGAGTATAACTTAATTTTTTTGTTCAATCAAGCCTTTTATTCATCTATAGTCTTCAAATATAGACATCTATTATAAGTTTTGAATTTCTCAATTTAAAAATGTTAACAATATAAAAATTACCAGCTCTTAGAAGAGAAGGACAGTCTTGAACTTCAAAATGGAAGTCTTTTAACTCAAATTTGCCTTTCTATGAAAATAAAATAAAAATGTATTAGAATTTCAATAAAATATCAAGATATCACTACAGTGATTAAGCAATGGAATAGGCTAAATTTTAATTTAGATCCCTAATTTGCAATATAAGGAAGCACACAATTTAATTTAGTCTTGTGCAATATTTTGTCAAGGCAATATCAGAGCCTTTTTAGGTTTATAGCGTTTTTAGATGTTTATACGTCTGGATTAAAAAAAATTAAATAACAATTCCCAAGCAGAATGTTTTCAATATTTTTATGATAGTTTTTCAAACAATCAAAAGCTATATCTGAGTGTAATAATCATTGCATAACAATGTTCATTATTTAAATTTATTTTATTGGTTAACTATTCAGTCTATAATTTTAGTAAAAAGATTTAAGTTTCATATTAAAACCATGACAGACGTGACAAAATAAAATCTACTACCAAACAGCTTTTAGAAATATGAACATAATTATGTTTTAATAGTATGTTCCTTACACCTGAAGTTAATAGCTTTAATGAAACATCATCATGCCAGCCAAGTCCTATGGAACCAGGTAAAAAAAATCTAAAGCCCTCAGGTTTGAAGAGTTCCCAATTCGACTCAGTCGAATTGGTTCCAGTGGCATCTAGAACATAAACAAAAGGGAACATTAACTTATACTTAAGCCAACATAATTTTATTTAATACATAAAAAATTCATTGATTAATTAAATGCTTATATAGATTTTATTATTATATAGATTAATTATTTTGTACTTTATATTTTGTTTTACTAAAAATATCTTCGTATTAGGTAAAAAAATTCTTGCCTCTCTACTTTGAATAGAAATTATTTTCTGGCAATGTTGAGTAATTATAAAATTGTTGAAGTACATTTTTAACAGAATTATAGCTAAAAGCTTACAAATCATTAAGACAACTAAAATAATAAAAACTTTATTAATTATATCAACGGCAAACAATAATAATCTCGCTACTCCATCTGTTTTTATAAACCACATAACTCCAGTCTCTGAGCTATTTACATAGCCTAGAGAGATTTGAAGGGATATCTCCATATTCAACCTATGGGTTGTACATATATCAGCTATTGAACTTATTTTCCATTGTAAAAAAAAAAAAAAAAGAGAAAGTACTGTACTGTGCAGGGAGATGATGGGCCAATATCACGCTTAACCGGCAGGTTTTCCCCTTAATTAATTATTTAATTAAGAATACCCGCTTTTTAGAGGCTGGGTTTGCCCCAGGAGTGTCTCCCGGCCCCAGGGTCGACCCATGGCTGATTAAAAATTACTAGTCATCAGCCAGATTCAAATGTGGGATCCTGAGCTCTGGAAGTCAGTGCTCACCCACAGCTACCCCGCTAAAATAAGTTAACTAAAATAAAATTATGAGATTTTCATTGCCTGCCATAGATCAGACTAATGTTAACTAAGTGGATAATTTTTGGATTTCACAAAGGAAATATTTAACAAACTATTCACTAATTTAATTTTCTGAAAGGATACATGACGATTTTCCGGAATAAACGGACATTGATGCCTAATTATTTAAATATATAATATCAGATCTAGAGGTATTTAATAACAGTAAATGTATTTGGGGTTATAAATATATGCTTTATACATCCATGAAATATCTTTATATTTCACTTTTTCTTTCACACAAATACAATGAAATAATTTTTTTAACCATGTCATTGCCTTAATTAGGTGGATTTTAAATACTTTTTTCAAACTTAAAAAAAAGTTTACATTTAGTCAGTAAATTTCATTTAATTTTCTTGAAAACATGTGATTTTTGTTAAATAATATTAGTTTTATAAATCATTAATTATAATTTTTCATCACTTTCCATTACTTTCTATATTAGAAATTGCTTTTTTAAATTAAATTCTTTGCTTTTCAACAATATATTATACGTTTACCTTCTGACTAGTACTTCCATAAATTCATTTTTTTAAATTATTTAAATTATTATTCATTAACCTAAATAAACATTTTTTCAATTTTTCAGTTATCAAATTATTTTAAAACTTATATTTAGCATTTTTTCTGAGCTCTTAATAATGAGAGATAGTTAATTATTCAAAAGTAACCAAATTAAAGGTACTTTAGAGGAAGAAAAGTTGAATATTTAAGCCCTGTAAAGTGATATCAATGAGGATAAGACCTCAATGATATTAAAGACCACTCAATTATACAATGATACACCGAGTTCAATCAAAATCGTTGAAGCTGTTTTTGAGAAAATTGTAAAAATATGAATGACCATTAATATAAAGTGTGACTTCTGGTTAGTTGATTTTAATGAAAAAGTTGCTACCACATCCCAGGCATATATCTACTTAAATATGTAATGTCAGTTTCGTACGACTTTTTGTTTTTTAGCTTGACTGATCAGATACATACACAAATCCAGAGCATTTTGCGGGACTTGGTTATTTAGACTCAGAGGAAATCAAAACATGTATTTTGTTGAAATCTCAGATTCGAAAATTTGAAATCAAAACATGTATTTTGTTGAAATCTCAGATTCGTAAATTTTCACGATCGCAATACTTTCCCTTACAATATATTACATATATAGGTAAGTGAAAAATAATAAATATACCAATCCTTCTAAAGCTGATAGAGGGCCTAGAAGAAAAGACAAAAATATACTTGTATAGATAGGTACCTCAATATTAGCCCAAACGGATCTCTACATAGTAAATGGTATTGTCAATGATGCGCAATAAAGTAAAGCTGATAGTAGGAAATTGAAACATTTTTCAGTCTATAAACATCAAACAGAATTAATGGTTATTGATAAAAGTACTGAGCAATAGAGTTGATTGTGATAATATCTTCTATCTTACAATTGGTGGAATAAATTCTTTTCTATCTTTCTCTAAATTAAATTTAAAATAAGTTTAAAAAACAAAAATTAAACATGTCACACTGCTATAAAAAGAGATCTTGTGATGTACTACTTCTCCAAGTGTTGTCAACTACATTCATGGTTGTACTTGTTACACTCACTCACTCAAGGCATCACCTAACTTCCAGTAGGTCCTATTCAGTTGTCATTGGAGTTAGATCTTTTCCGATTCATTAAATAACTTCTATAATATATCAAAATATTTCTCCAATTCTTCTTCGGTGCATACTATTTATTTTCAAGTTAATTTATTTTCAGCCATTTTACACCAATTTTCAAAATTTTTTTGTCAACTTAATGACTACACATCTGATTACGACGTTTCGGCTCGTTGAGACATTTTCTAGTCTAAAATATTTTTACAATTTACAGTCATATTTAAAACATTACATACTTCAACATATAGAGATTCATTTTATAAACCTAAAATACCAATCATGTACCTGTCCTTTTCAACTTATGCAAATTGCATGCGTCTACTCATGTAAAAAAAATTTTATTTTTGTCATGTCCACCTTTAATTATTTTATAACATTATTATTACTCAATTATTTATTATTAAATGATTCAAATAAGTTAAATTTTTTTTCCAAAACTAAAGATAAAATACCCACCGATAAATTAACGAATATTATTTATAAAATAAATTGTAAAAATTGCAACAACAAATCGTATATTAGACAGACATCACATTTACATGAGTAGACGCATGCAATTCGCATAAGTTGAAAAGGACAGGTACATGATTGGTATTTTAGGTATATAAAATGAATCTCTATATGTTGAAGTATGTAATGTTTTAAATATGACTGTAAATTGTAAAAATATTTTAGACTAGAAAATGTCTCAACGAGCCGAAACGTCGTAATCAGATGTGTAGTCATTAAGTTGACAAAAAAATTTTGAAAATTGGTGTAAAATGGCTGAAAATAAATTAACTTGAAAATTCTATAATATAATTTTTGGAATGATTGATGTGATAACCCACTTCTCAAGCAGATGTGAAATTTGAGAAAGTACCAAATTTGTTTCAGGAATTCTATTAATGTCAATTGAAGAGCTACAGATCAAAATGCATTACATCTATTTTGTTAAAACAATAGAATGAAATTTATTTCAACATTAATAAACTAAAAAGCTTTATAGCTCAGTCAAAAAAAAAATGATAGGTTCCAAAGCCTTTTAGAGCTAAGATTTCTTTCCGAAAAAAAATTTACAATTCTGAGCAAACATTTTTTTTTTAATATTTGCTTTCTAATATCAACTATTGCGGAGCAGGATAGCTCAGTGGTAGGGCACTGAGCTTCCAATTCAAAGGTCCTAGGTTCGAACCCCGGCTCATGGCAGAAAATTTATTTATCTGTTTCATTGGCCGTGGGGCGACCCTGGGTCAGGAGACCCTCCTGGGGCACACCCAGCCTCCATAAAGTGGGTATCCTTAATTAAATAATTAATTAAGGGGAATAACCTGGCGGTTGAGCGTGATCTCAGTCAAATCACTTCCTTGCACAACCGTTGACGTAGAAACAGTGCTTTCCCTAAATAGTACTGAACCCCAGACCCTTCATGGGTTGTAGTGGTACAGGTTTTTTTTATAATGATTTATATGTACTAGTATTTTGGTCCAAATAGTAGTAAATTTTTGTAAATATATTTACAAAAATAAAAATAAGTTGCTCTCAAGTAGTGAATTAATTCAAGAAAATGAAACATTGATATTAAAAAAATATTAACTTTCTCACAAGTAGACGATTATTTCAAGAAAGTTAAATACATTAATATTGAAAAAGGGTACCAGTTCACATGAGTTCAGCACAGGTTACGCGTTATTCACAATCACTTCGATCAGAGTTGTTCATGGAATCCCGGAAACAGCCGAATGTTTCCGTCTTTTATGATGTCAACTATCGTTCCCACCACACAATCCCTTTTCCTGCATTTTTGAAAAAGAAAAACAACCGTATTCACTTCATGGAACTACCTTATTAACAAAAATTGTGTATTTACTAATTTGTTAATTATCAATTTTTATTATAACAATTATTAATCTGAAATAAAAATAAAAATATATATAAAACGATGTTTGAGTTGTCCTTCAAGGCCTGTTAAAAAAAAAAAATGCTTTTAGAAATAATTTTTTTATTGACAAGTGCTTACATTTAATGGATGTAAATATGCATATACTGTTGTATATTATCTTTTATAACTGTATACAATTTTTTTTTTTATCATTTAGATGAAAAACAATCTGAAGTTATCTATTATCTTTTTATTTGTTATTCAAGAATTTCAATAGAAGTTGAAATAACTGAATTTATTATTTATTTTAGCAGGCCTTTTTTAGAATTGCGCTATCATCTATCTAGTTTATGTAATTTTTTAGATTTCTAATATGAGGGTCTATTATCGCTTTTTATGCAAATACTGTCTGATTTGAGATTGAGCATCAAGTTTATGTAACATTTTTGAATACATAGATATACAAATCCACTATTTTCTAGTCATCGGAGCTTTTTATGAATATACAGTCAGTGTTGTAATTATTCATCGATTTTTTCGAGCTTTTTAAGAAAATAATATCAGATTAAAGATTGCACAAGAAAAGTGAACAGAATTAATAAATAACATATATATATTAATCATTATATAGATAAATATGTATTCCAATAATCTCCAACCCCCAGAAACCCATAGATCTGACAGTTAGTTGGACTATGCTGTTAACTTAAAATTTATTTTCTGATTTTAATTTATATTATTTTTATTGAATGAACTAGCTAATTATTGTACATAATTATTTCGCTTAGTAATCCAGAAATGGGGACATATTGTAGTCATTTGTAAAAAAAATAAAATTAAAAAAAAAAAATTTAAGGAAGGAATTAACGTATTGGGGAAATATTAGTTGAAATTATCAGAAGTTATCAGTTCTGTTAATTTTGAGATTGTTAATATTGGAAATCATCAATAAGAAAAATAATATCGTGAAATAGCATTCAGAGAAAAAATTATTTAAAAGATTTCTTTTCCAAAGTTGTATAATATATGTACTATAACTTAAGTTCGATTAAGGTTACATATAGCCTAAATTTCTGATATATGTCGGCTTCTGCTATAGAACTGAACATGGTTAAGGTTATAGAAGTACTTAAATGGCGGGAAAGTTAACAGTAACTGACTCAAGAGATCGGTCGCCTTCGTTCTCTTTTGAATAAACCCAAACGCATTCAGCAATTCATGAACAAGTGTGATCAAAGTGATTGTGAACCACACGTAATCCGTGAGGAACTCATGTGAACTACTACCTGAACAAGAATTAACTTGCTCCTTTAGTAAGATATTAATTAACTGGAGTTCTTGAAGGATTGGATTCAATTTATATGCTTCAATGGGCATGTAAGTGTTTTTTACTGGATTCTAATATTTTCGACAAATTGAAATATGATTCAATGGGCAAGCTAACATGCTCATACACCTGTTTTTTACTGGATTCTATTATTTTCGACAAATTGAAATAATTGATAATACTCTCAGAGTGAGCGGCAAATGTTTACACCAGAGAGGATGATGCAACATGTGCAATGAGAAGTGCACTCCAGGAGGGCTAACCCTCTACTTTCGGTGAGAACTCTCGAAGGTCTTTAAACTTGGGAGTTTTACTTCACAGCAAAAATCTACCACTCTTAAGAGTAAAAAAAAATCATGTGTAAATGATAACCTATCACTTTTTGATAACAGCAAAATTGGAAAAGTATTGATAACACACTAAATTGGAGAACATTATTGTTATTAATTGAACATTAAATTGATCTTATGGGTAAATACATGATTATATTTATGTCAAAATTTTATTGAAGTTTCAAATAATGTTCACTAGAGCTACTGTTACTTGAATTATATGAAATAAAATAATCACTACTAAACAATATCATACCATCTGAGCCTTCAGGAGAACCTCTATTTACAATTTTATAAGAGCCTCGAAAATTTGAAAAACTTCTAGAAAAAATTGATTTCACAGAGTTATTCCTTCCATAATACTTTAAAGTTTTATAACACAGCATCTAGAAATAAAAACAAATTTTGTTCAGAACCACAAAACTCTACAAAGTTACAACAATTATTCTATTAATATTGTTATAGAAGAAATGAACACTTCGAAAATTTACGTGAGAAATGTCAACAAAAATAAAAATTTTTTAAATGTCATTATCAATCACTTTACCTTCCAGCCAACTATGCATTGTGGGTCACTGCCTTCTGCTCCTGATTATGATTATATTTCAAACGACATACATTTTCCGATCGTTTACGATAAATGATCTATAAAAATTAACATATGGTAATTTCAAATAATTTTTTATATGCGCTTCTGTATTATTTTGAATCATTGCAGTAAATAAAAGTTATTTAGTGGGAAATGAAAGGTGTTCTGAATGTACTGGGAATTCCCTCTTCTACCAGTCCCAACATAGCTGGCTCGCTTGCTGCTTGCTGGCTGAACACCTTTTCCACGATGTATATGAGTTTTCAGAAAACTTGCTTTTTACATTTCAAATCATTTAATATATGGCATAGAAACTGTATGATACAAATTTTGTATTCTTGATTAAGTGTTGATTTAGGTGAAAATATTACAAAATTTAGCGTTATACGATGCCTAAAGGAAAGAAGAAGGGAAAGTCAATGGGTAAGATTTGACCCATATTTTTAAAAATAAATGAAGCAATCGGTTGTTATTATTATTTTGTAGGATATTTTGGGGTAGTTAACCTGTCAAGATTTGTGATCAATGTTCAATTCAATGACATTTGCTGATTGACCAAGGTTACATTTTGTAGGGCCTTTTCAAGGATGTTGATATTTTAAGTGTAAATTCGTTTGATTGCGTTAATTAATTTCAATATTTTTCTTCTAATGTTTATAATATAAATTTAATTTCTTAATATTGTGCAATTTTAGATGTTTTTTATGAAAATGTGTGACACTGCAAATCATTTAGTCACCTCCATTGATAATAGGATTTATCATACACAAACCTATAATTATTGAGAAGTTGAAAATTCTGCATTACTAGTTTTATTTTACTAGCATTACTACTTTATTTTATATAATGTTATTGCTTATGTATGAAATAGAATGTTACATTCCACATAATTATGTCTATGCAGTAATTAAAAAAAAAAAATGTATTATAGCTATTCATATTTGTTAAGTTGATAATTAGGCAGTATAGTTTTGAAAATTTTATTCTGCTAAATATAACCATCAACTCATGACTTCGTTATGTTGTTAACTTACTGCAGATTTATTTATCTAACTTTATTACAGGGGGAGGTAAATCCCGTGGGGAAATCTTAGGAACATCAGATGAAGACTCGCTGAACGACAACAATAGTGTAATAAGTTTGAATTCTGATGGAACGTATTTAGATGATGGAGGTAAGTTCTTACCATTTATAATTAGTGTTCAACTGTTCATGTTACATTCTTGTGGTTATTGGTTTTTTTTATCTGCAACATATGCCAGCCACAAATAATTTAATGTAATGGTCATTACTTTTTTTTATGAATTATTTCATTTCTTTTCTAGATTGTAATAATTAGTTAAAATGAATCTACAACAATAATTTGTAGTGATTAGTGAGATTTAAGAATTTATATGTTTTATAATTAATGGTGTTACATAATTATCAATTAATTGATTTCATAAATGTTTGCACCAAAATTTCTGCTGCATGTCTACTCGTGGAGTTATCTTTTGAATTTTTCATTGCTTGTTTTGTGTTATTTGTTAAGTAGGCTTCGATGAGCCAGATGAGCAAGCCCAAAGTGATGTTTTTGAAGAAAAATTGATGGAAGCAATTGATGGTCTTACCCAAAAGTCAGCCCAAGGTAGAACAAGCTGTCTCGAGTCAGTAGGAGCATCTTTAACAATGAAATATATACCAGAATTTGTTCTTAATAGGTAATTTAAATTATACTTTAATGACATCTCCCATCTTATTGTTCTAGAAATAACTTTGTGTTCCTACTTGTGTATATATGTACCTTTTTACTGTGTATTTTCTGTAACATATGGTTGCAATTTTAAATTGAAGTCCACTGGTTAAGTAACAATTTTGTAATGGTGAGTTTTTTTTTTTTTTAAAGAAGCGTTACAAACAAACCCAGAGAGGATGGTTATGATGAAATTAAATTAAAATTAGTGCTTGAGTTTGATTAATTGGAAAGTGATAGTTGTTATCTTATATTAATGTAACCCTTAAACTATTCCATTCACTTTTTTAAAGGTTCTCTAATTATGTAATTAGTGAGCTTTCCTGAAACTTTCAAAATCATCTAAGTTCTGCTGAAGTTAAACAAATTTTAATTTATTTTTTTTTTATTAGTTATTTCTTGCTTTAATTTGAATTATGTTTAATATTATTTTTTAAATTAGTTCTGTGAAGTATAATTTGAAATTTATCTTAAAAAGTGTAAAAAATCCTGAAAATTTTAAAAACATGCTTGGCTATGAAGAGTTCCATATGGATCATATTTCCTCTTATCTGTGAGGAAAACTTATGAACCAGATTTTTCCAGTTCTTTTGTTAATTGATACCTGCTAGACTCAGCGTTACAGTTTAATAATTTATATTTTAATTGTTTATTATTATCGCTTTTTGTGTGAATATTTTCAGATAGTAATAATCTTTGCATTCATTTTTTTGTTAACAATATAATTAATTTAGAAAACATTGTTTCATTAATATTGAAATTAAAATTTTCAAAGTATATTTGAAGTTAAATAAATTCCTGAAATACTATTAAATTGTAAATTTTTGTTTTGGACTAAGTGAAAAAAAAATAATTAACTGTTAAATGTTTATACTTTCACTTACCTATACAGAGTGTCCTGTAAGTATAGAGAAATTTGTATAGGAGCGATAGCAGATCTCAAGAGCTACAAAAAAGTTCATCTAATCAATGGGTCAACTTTCAGTATATAATGTAAAAATAGCAAATCCAAGTTTTGTGGTTTTTTAAGTGAGTCGTATTTTTTGTTAAATCGAAAGCAATAACTTGAACAATATTTAATTCAAGTAATTAATAATTGCTTCATTGTAAACTAGATACAGAGAATTTGCTTGAAATGAAAATAGAGTTTATTATTGTTAAAACCAGTTAAACATGACTTTTGAGCGGCTAAACTAAGCCAAGTTCTGTTTTTAGAAAAATCATCAGTTATTCACAATTTTTTTTTATCACCATCCAACTATACTATAGATACTCCACTTTTACAAAAACTTTTTCGTTTGATAAGCTTTAAATCTGTATTAATTAAGTTGAGGTTTATTATGGAAAAAATGGAGATTGTGCTCAAGTTGTGTAAAAAAAATGATATTTTTTATCCTGTCAAGTAAAAGTATCTCTGTTTTCAGCAAAAATGACTACAATTAACTGTTGCAACGCTTTTTTTATTTCTTGTTTTTCATGATCTGGAATATATTATAATAAACCCAATTGCCTAAATACACATTTTATTTATAAAAAAAAATTAATTTGAAAAATACTGATTTTTTAAATACTTTCCGGATAAATTGGTTATCAACACACAGATTTTTTTATTTCATTGTTCATTAATTTATAAATAAGAAAGCAAATTTATATTCTTTTTAAGGAAGGAGATGGTCTGGTGTGGCTGACCAGGTGGATAGAAGTACAATTGGAATAAAACAAACAAAAAAAGTTGGCTTTTAATAAAACATTTTTGCCACTATTTAGTCTATTTATGACCGCCACCCCATACCATCTCCTTCCTTAATAATACAATGGTCAACTATTAAGTATTCTATACTCTGTTTTAGTTTCTTCTTAGTCTAAACTGCCAAATCTCACAAATTGATCTGTCCATGTAATTAAATAAAAAATGATAAGTTGAAAGAAAATTAAAATAACGTATTTAAGGTGGTAGGTATATACCTGCAATGTTACAGCAATAGTTTCACTGAAATCGACTTAACCAAAAGTGGAAAATTATATTATACATTGTTTTTTTCTCAAAAATGGTTCAACTTTTTTTAAAAATTTTATATAAATGTACCATGTCTTTTTATATTAAATGATTGTTTATATCAGATATCATCCTAATTGAAAATGCCAAATTTTAGAATAGCTTCTTCTACGGTGTCTTTAAGATGATTTATTTGAATGAAAACATTCCTTAGTGGTTGATTATAAAAAGAAATGTCATAATATAAATTATGAAAGAATTTATAATCAACAAAAGAATAAAAAAATAAAGCTTTTTCCAGGTTGAAGAAAAAAATGTGGAAATAAGATTAGTAATGAGTGTAATAGATGGTGGAAAGTTGAAGAATTTGGAAAATTTAATATCTAACACATAAAGTCCGTGGAAGGTTATTGAGAGTGGTGGAAAACTTATAATATTAATTTCTGGAAATATTTTTTAACAAGAATTAAATGTTTCCAAGGAAACTTACAATTATTTTTAAGCTGGACAAACTAAAAATATATGAGTGAGTGGCTCCATAACAAAGTCAGACTTCTGTAATTTTCAGAAAGTGGAGAAAAATCAATTTTTGTTTTATAGGTTCTACTCAAACTTTTTCTGATGATTTAATTTAAGAATATTGAAGATGCATCATGAAAATAAATCATTAGATTTGGTATCAATTGAAGCTACCTTACGATAATTGACTTTTCTCAACTTTTAAAAAATGATAGGTGTGATTTAATATGAGGCCATTCATATAATGATTGAATTATTAATTTGGGATATTTTAATAACTATTTTATCATACATTTGTGAAAAAATACAGTTGATAAATATTTACGCCTTAACCTCATGTGAATCTGTTTCATTTTATATAGGAAATATAAAGACTACCGATCTCCGCTCAGTTATTAATTATGTGCATCAATGGTTTGCTATATTAAATTAAATGTTTGTTTTTACTACCGTATTTCTATGTTTCCATATCTAATGTTTTTTTAAAAATTTGAACATTGAACAAAAAGTCGTAAATTGTTTATTTCAACTTACATAATAAAAATATTTGAAACTAAACTGCTTCACAGTCTGAAATCTAAATCACATTTTTATCAATGGTACTGTCAACATTTTTAAAAGACGATACAAAAGAGGACTAAAATTAACTTGGCTTATTAGGAATAACTTCCCTTAAAACCACAGACTGAAGATGGGTTGACAGCTGAAACGTCATTTTGCAAAAGGCTGTTTGTTGTATTGTATTGAGCTCACATTTTTGTAAGCACAGGTTGACTATAGAATATAGTATCAAAAATTTCATAATCTTCTTCAGATACTGTTCAAATTTTGAGCTGCTTCCGGTATCATCTTAGAAAACAGAAACCTAGTAAAATCAATGTTTTGCTCTGATAATGGAGAGATGATCAGCTCCATTGAAGAGGATATCACTATTAAATACCTTGGGTGTTGGTTCTCTGGGGAGCTAGTGTTTGATGTGGTTAAGCAGCCGTGCAATATTATTATTGTAGTTCTGTCTTTCTTCATTTGTGTTAGAACCACCTACATGGGTATTCATCTCAAAACCGGTTACGACTGGCCTGAAATTGAAATTCATATGGAAATCACAATTGTCAAACGAAGTATCGTTCCGGAATATTTTCTCCCATGGTAGTCTTTCACCCATCTACCTCCTACATACCTTTCATTCAGAGAGAGAAAGAGGAGAAGGGTGTCCAAACGGACTAACGCGTGTGCACAGTACCATGCGTTACCCATCAACCTGATAACCGAAGTTATGAATGATCAAATAGAAATGAGTTTGTGTCCCAGTGCCAAGGAGGACTTTTAGCTCTGGTATTAATCCTCCGCCCTCAACCTCTGCCCTGGGAAAACCCCGTATTGCCTAAAAAGACAAGGAAGGGGAGAACAAAAAAAAAATCTTTCATTTTATTTAGAGGAATTTAGAAAATTCTAAATGGTTTATAAGTTAAAACTGACATTTTGTTATTTCTCTTAACTCAGATATTACTTATAAAATATTTTGAAATATATACATTGCTATGCTTATACTCTATGTTTAACTATTCTCCCCACTATTGTCTGATACTCATTCTAAAAATAGAGAAATCTAGGAAGATTCTTGTCAAATCTCTTCCAATAGTTTATATGTTTTCTTATGACTTGAGAAAATAAGTGTATACGCCATGATCGGATATGGTGTCCTACATATAGGAAGCATCATTAGGCTGTCTCACACAATGTATACATATTCAACACTATCATTGATTTGTTTATAATTTTTCTTATTGTTTTATAAAACATATTTCACTCAATTTTAGGAAGATGACCCTTACAGATTGTATAGAACGCTGTCTGAAGAAAGGTCGGGGTGTTGAGCAAGCTGCTGCTGCACAACTTGCCACACTCCTATGCGTGCAACTTGGCTCTGGCGATTACACCGATGAAGTTTTTAGGGAAATATCGCCATTGTTGACTCTTATCTTACTTGATCATTCAATGTCTGTTATTGCGAGGTCCAAAGTGAGTATTTTTCATTTCCCAATATTATATTTCTACTTACTGTTGTTATGTAGTTTTGTAAAATATTTGATAAGGCTCTGCTAAGTATTATGATTTTTAAGTTTTAACAAAACAAATTAATTCTTCTTTAAATAAATTTTCTTATAAAGTACTAAGTACTCTCATTAAAAGTGATTCAATTTATGCTGAAATAAACTTAGAGTAACGTAAAGCTTATTATTTTATTGAATTTTATGAAATTTTTGTCATTAACCTCAGTGTAACTAATAGAATTTCAGCTATGATTGATTAATTTGTTGTATGTGTTTCTTGTATTTTTATAATAATTTTTGATGTCCTTTGAAGTGCTCTTGGGCTTTGGGATTGCTATCTTTTCTCGCTAACACAGGCGATGTGGACGAGACGATGTCCACATTAGAGAGTATATTTTCTGGATCTTATAGAAAAGGTGATGGATCAATTCCAACCGTAGCACCCGAGATAGCTTCTCTTCATTATGCTGCTCTCTCTGCATGGAGCCTTCTTTTGACCATCACTGATCTTTCTTCATTATCATCTCTTCCGTGAGTTTTAATTTATTTTTAAACCACGAATAACTCTTAATTGTAATAAATATATATAAATTTACTACTCTTCATTCGTTGTTACCTCCATTATGTTCATCCCAGCATCATCGGCTGATACAGAGAGAACATTTTTAAAATTAAAATATTTTACTAAAATACTATAATATTATTAATATATATAAACAAATAACACATCAAATGTTTGATGGAGAGTATATCAGTCCATCTGAAAGTGTCCTGCAAATTGAATATAAATTGAATATATGTAAAAGGGTGTCTATTTACTTAAAATATAAATAGCAACAGTAAAATATTAAATTAAAATATTGCATCCTACATTATCACTACCTATTCTTACTGCAGCCTCTAATGATAAAAAGGTTCCCACCTATGGTATATATCATACTATATTGCATAATATAAAACTTTATGTAATTATTTTTTACCCTTCAATTACAGTACTCTCAGCCAGCTAAGTGGACTCCTGGATTCGACACATCTGGACGTTAGAATGGCAGCTGGTGAAGGTATAGCCCTACTTTTAGAACAGGCTCGGCAAGTTTCTGATGATTGGTTATTGGAGGCAAGGACTTCATTTTATTGGTTTCATATCTTATACAATGTATAAATAAGATGCTTAAAATAAAATGAAATTGTAGGTTGATGAAGATCTTCTAGAGAAGCTGAGACAGTTAGCGACTGATTCCCATAAGTATAGGGCAAAGAAGGATAGAAAGACTCAACGATCTTCATTCAGGGATATACTTAGGTTTGTTGAGGTATGTGTGTTTTTTTATGAATTTCCCTTTTCTTAAAATGCATATATTTAACATTCCACATAAAGGTTATTCACTCATTTTGTAGAATGATGAACCACCCAACATACAAGTGAGATTTGGTCAAGAAGCTCTTGCATTAGATTCCTGGAGTAGAAAAAAACAATATGATGCCTTTTGTCAGGTAATAATTACATTTTTTTTTTTATTTCTCTACAGGTGTGTTAATCAACTTCTTGATTATCTTTTGCTGATAGTTTTCCAATTTTCAACACAAAAATAAACTTGCAATAGAAACATTATTAATATTTTGGTTTATTATTTTCAATAATAAACCATTGTAATTGTCAAAAAAATTGAAAAAGATATCTCCTCAAAATTTGCGGCTTTACATTTCATGATACATAGAACTCGAAAATCGAATAAAAAAACTTTTGTCTGTCTGCTGTCTGCGGCTTTTCTCCGAGATTACGAGACAAATTTTATTGAGATTTGGAAGTAAAAAATCACCCGACAATGATTCTCCTACTTCGACATTATCATTACCTTTCAAGATAGCGGCCGAAAAACTTGTGTTGATATAAAAACTGTAGCGTCTAAACAATAACACACTAAACACTAGAGCTTAAATTATATGCAACCGGATTATTTGTGGATGTTGCTCAAGCATTTAACTAAATATGACATCGGGGGCTTTCCTTCAAGCCATAATTCCACATACCTACTACTTAATTCTTCATTCCTTCCTCTCAGACATATTTTTCTCTGTTTGACATGGTTCAGGTCTAACCTCAATTCGACCAATTTTAGCCGGTGTACCTCAGGAATCAATCTTAGTCCCATTACTATACATCACTTAAACACATGATATTCCTCAAAGTATCCACACCCCTACAGCAACCTACACAGGCGTCACTTTACCTATAATGTCACTTGCAAAAAATAAACGATTGGAGTAAACTTTGGAAAACTCAAATAAATTTTCAAAAGTCATAACTCATCACATTTACTCCAAGACTGGAAACATGTCCTCCAGTATATTTAGACAACATCCCAATTCCACAAACAGACAGAGTACAATACCTAGGCCTGACGTTTGATAGGAAAATGACATGGGGTCCATATGTAAAGAAAAAATGTGCATCATTAAATCACAGACTAAAACTGTTACACTCATTATTATGACGACATTCTAAATTAAAAGCAATACATAAATTTAATATTTATACACATCTATTAAAACCTCTTTAGACTTACAGATTACAAATATATGGAATTGCAAAACCAACAAACATAAAACTACTTCAATCTTTACAGTTTAAGATCCTATGCCTAGTTACCCAAGCACCCTGGTACGCGAATAAAAACACTTTACACACACATGCCAACGATCAGTGAACACATACGAACTTACTACAATAGATTTCATAATAAGTTACATGGACACTCCAACCAGCTAATTATAGAAATGGCCAATACTATTATAAGACGGCCGAATGAGGGGCCTGCTTAAGTAATTATGTAAGTAAAAGCCATGAAAGGGATGCCATTGGGTGTTGCTTTTCCTCATACCTATCAAGCCTCTTTTACTCATTATTATGCCAGCTCATCTGCAGATTGTCGATGGTTGTAATTGAAAGGTGTGGATTAATTAATGAAGTGCTTAAAAAAAAAAAAAAAAGGAGCTTATCAAAAAAATAATAATGGTAACAGAGTGTTAGGAACTACTGAAATAAATAGTAATGGTAATAATGTAATTATTAAAGAAATGAAAAATTAATTGATAAGGAAATGTAATGGAATATTAAGAGATAAAGAACGTTAGTGTTAGATATAAAATAAATGGGATGACGTAAAAGCTAAAAGTTGATGTCTTAGTATGTTAAAAGGAATATGAAGTTATATAAAGATATAATATGTGTAAATATAATAATTAAGATACAATAAAATCTATTAAAACATAACGACCACACAGAAAAGAGTGGTGAAGTTAAAATTATTTAATTACACTATTAATGATTATTCATACAAAAATATTGATCATACCAACTTTCTAAGTTTAAAAGATTGACTTACGTAGTACCCACTAACTAACCAGACAAATTTCTATTTAAGACAAGACTATTTTCTTAAAAAAAAAAAAAAAAAAAAAAAACCTAGTATTGGAATTAGTAAAATGAATTTATAAATTGTGTTTCAAGAATGTTAAATTTTGGAATCAATTTTAATAGCAATTTTTTTTTAAATAAAATTAAGAAAAAAATTTAAAACCCACTTGCTGGGTGTGTGCCAATTCCAAACACCTTTCATACCTTGTTGATTATGATCTGTTCTGTCATACACAAATAAATAAATACAAAATCATAACCTGCTACATTTCTTGTGATTGCTTTTGATCTGTTCTGTCATACATTAATTGTCATGGTTGAATTTTATTATTCTTAGAATTGCATTATAGAAGAAGATTATAAAGCAATTAAATCTATCTTTTAGAGAGAACCAAATTACTAACAATATTTAAAAATAAGTTTGTTAATATCATGACTTGATGACCTCACAAAACAAACTTTTGATAGCAAATAAAAATCTTCATTAATACATGTTTTTTAAATATTCTTATATTGTGTCTAGGCTATTATATGTAAGGGTAAAAAAATGGTATCATTTAGTTAATTATTAATTTTTAATTACTGGATGATGATGAAAGTTTCAATTTTAATCAAGATTCATTTCCAACAGGTCCTAGGATCAGGCTTGAATTTACATCTTAGAGAAAATGATTTGTTGAGGGATATACTTGAATTAGGAGAAAAAATATCACCCCTCAATATGAATGCGGTCAAGCAAACAAAACTGGCTAGGGTAAGTTTTTATTCATTTATTTACTGACATTTAAGTAATTTTTTTATGTTTTGGTCAGTTCTCGACTTTGTTGCTGTTTAATGCAACTATCACAGGTTTTTCATTAATTATAAAGAATAAAATATTGATTTTCTGGCAAAAATCAATCATGATTATTACATATATACATACGTAGATGGCGCTGTGGTCCAGCCACTAATGAACTGCCGGTCCCTAGTCCATATCCTCCGACTCCCATATGCTTGGTCTTAGCTTTATTAATGTGTAGCCGAAGTTTCTTTGCTGGATCTTCTATGGCCAAGAACAACTCTCTTAATGCACGTTCTGATCTGGCGGCAATATCAAAGTCGTCAGTGTACCCAAGAAGCTGTACGGTACTGTTAAGAAGGTTATGCTCAAGATAGAACATCCTCCTGTCTTACACCGCAGTCAGTATGAAACTCTTCCGAGAAGTCATTTTCTACTAGTACTGCAAACTTCAAGCCTGACATCATTTCATGAGACATATCAGTTTAGCTGGGACGTTCATTTCCAACAGGGCCTGATAGAGCTCCGGCCAAGTTACACTATCGTAGGCGTCTTTAAAATCAATGAAGAGGTGTTGGTAACTGTTCTATACTGTGTGCATTTCTCCACCAACAGCCTCAGTGAGAACAGTTGGTCCAATGTGGACCTCCCTCGCCTATATCCCTCTCAGCATGAGGAACCAGTCTCTCAAATAGAATGTTAGAGAGAACTTTATAAGCACATGAGAGGAGCACTATGCTTCAATAATTGTCGCAATCCGATTGGTCCCCTTTCATGTGGAGTGGGTAGATAATTCCCCTTTTCCACTCCTCAGGCATCTTCTCTTCTTCCCATATCTTCAAAATGTTATTCAGAGGTTACAGAGCTCCTTTCTCAGTTGCATTTCTCGATAGCATATCAGCTCCGCTTGAATCATGATTATTATTGCTGTGGTGTTTCCAATCCCTTGGCACTTGTTCGATTGTTCACTGGATGGATTGAAATTTATTTTATGGTGGGCCGATGGAATAAAACTTGACCTTTCCACTCAGGCTATAATTGGTTGATCACCTGTAGTACTACCACTCCATATGCCAGAAATGAGGCGAGGATGGGACCAAAAGATGAAAAAAAAAACTATTTTTTGATAACCATTGACTGCCCATCTCCTTTCTAACTGTGGTCATGCGCAATTGTACTATGTATAAATCTAAGCTATTTTTACATTGTAAATTATATAAAGTATATTATACCAAGTAACAAAAATTTTAATTGTCAGCACCTGATGAATGCCGCTAACTTCAAAGCAAGAAGCATATCAAGAGCTAAAAATCGAGATAAGAGATCTGCTGTTGTCATCATGTAAAGGCATTCTTCTTTTCTTGGGATCAAGCATTTTCAATCGGTTATATACTACGTATGTCATCATATTCATCTGTCACATTAATTAATTAAAAAACATTTGAATAATATGTTGTTTGAATAATTAAAAAATAATAATGACATTGTTTGGAAGCTTTAGCAATAAGATATACTGTATTTATTTTATTCCACTATAGATTTTAAATATTGATTGGCTGTTTTTATTCTCAGAGTCGCTATTTTGTTCTAGTTTTCCTAATTTATCTGTTGTACATTTCCTTTTCTGTTTGGATTGTTATTATTAACAAATGTTATTTATTTTTAATAGAATAAAAAAAAATGTAAAAATAGTGTTACAATTAATACCATAATGCATGTAAAGCATATTGTTACCTGAGAAGGGCGAGTTGTTATTTTTCTCTTTTTAATTGTATTGAAGAATTATAATTCATTTTTTTCATTACTTTTATGAAAACCACCGTAGTGATTAATTTTCTATCTGTTATTCAAAACTCTACTGTAACTTTTGTCAACAGAATGAAAACGAAAAAAAAAAATTGTGTAAATTGAGAAATATATTTATTTGCCTAAACCATCTTTATGGTATAACAGTGTTCATAAATCAAAATGTTTTTAGTGGATAATGTTAACATGTTTTTGTGGAAATTACTAATGAAGTTTTAATGATTTTCTTAAAATTACATAATTTTGGAAGCTAGCTGTAGCTGTTGATAACAAAAATGTTCAATTAACTGAATTTACTTTACAAATTCATCTGTTTTGTACCTGAAAGATGAAAAAAATTAAATTGAAAGTTTTTAATTTGTGTAAAAATGTTCAATCCTCCATCTATTCTCATAGTTTATTGATGTTATGAAGGATATATCTTCAACACTGAAGCAAGATTTAATATAAACCATCATATTTCATTTTTATTACTATATTTTCCATTACTATACTTTCAAAGGCGATATAACAATTTAATGTTTCTACATTGATACATGGTTGCATTACATGATACGCTATGTTTAGGAATAATATGGATAAAAACATAATTCAGTTAATCAAATTATTCTCCATTATTTGTGCACAAAAACAGTTGGTAATAACTTCTTTTACAAAAATCTCAACATTACAAATTGTAGGTAAGTAATTTTGTGTTATTTTGTTCACCAGAAAACTAACAATTTATGTGTTTCACCTAGATATTGCCTATAATGGTAAAATTTTAATTATTACAGTTGGAGAACTTTTTATATTATATAATAAAACACTTTATTTGGTATAAAATTATTTACTAATTCAGTTTTGATATATTTATTTAAAATATTTTTTCTTTTGTTAAGGGAGGGCAAAAAGGAAGGCAAAGTATGTTATGGATGATATCCAAGAGAAATTAAGATATAATAAGAAATGCCTTTAAAACAATAATTGGGCTGCTAACTAAATACTTTTATAAAAACAAAATTCCATGAATAAATTTATATCACGGAATAAATATCACATAGCAGAGCAGTTGCAGTTAACTTCAGATAATCGAGATGCAAAAATATTAACTATTAGATTGCATAATAGAGATATAAATAATTATGTTACTAATTTATTTAAAAAAAAATATATTTACATATTTACATTTCTGATACAAATTTATACTTTTCATTATTTGGAAACTATAGAAATAAATGAGGAGAATCACAAATTTGGGGTTGACTGAACTGGAGTATCAGAATAAGCAAGAGCAGTTATAGCTTTCTGATGACCGCTGTACTCTCTCTCAATGTTGCCAGTATCCAAATTCCACAGGCGTGCAATATTATCTGAGCAAGCTGTAAATAATAACACCATTTGATTATATCAGTAGCTATTGAATGTATAATACTTATAACTATAATAAGGCTTGGCGAACCCAAAGGTTTTATGCTGATACCACCAATCGATGTCTACATTCTTCTATCCAAGGGCACCATACCGTCAACCCAATCCCGCCAGATCAGCCTTAACTCAATTTTTCCAACTTCGTTTTGGTCTACCCCTCGGATGCTTACCAGTCAGAACAGCACACATTAACTTTCTAGGAGTTCTTTTGTTACCAAGTCCAGCAATTTTATTTGCCTCAATGTAATCATTTTAATTATACCTGGTATTATTCACCCAATTCATTATTGTGTAACTACCTAAATTCTCTGGTTGACACATCCACACTGAAATTCTATGCAATACTATGTTCAAAAACCTTAAAACATTACTCATCCCTAAACTTTTATATGTGTTTAAATGTATTCCTTCAATACATACAAAATCAAGATTAAGATTGTCACCATTTTTGCCACAAACCATATATTCTGCCTTGTCCGTATTTATTGCAAGCCCTAGCCATAATACTTGTAATTACAAAAATTATTTTCATTGCTTTTAAAATCAAGAATTAAAATAATGAATATATGCAAAACACAAAAAAGTATATTTTCTATTCCAATTGTTATTTCTAAACCAAAATTGACAAAATAATAAATTAAGGAATTCTTTATTTATAGATCATATTACCAAAAAATATGTTTTTTAATAATTAGGTTAATTTTTGAAAAGAATAATTTCACATTTGGATTCATTGGGTTTTTTTTTACATATGAATTGATATAAAATTTCAAAAATATATAATGTAAATAAAATAGTTGTAGGTTACTATGAGATGAAGGTATTTATGAAGTTTCAGGTGGATGTTAATAATTTGACAAAAAGGGGTCTGTACCACAGACTAATAATCAGGATTTGAAATTGATAATTTTTTGTTTCCACAAAATCATGTAATAATTATTATATTTGATTTTTAATTTAAAAATCATGCAGGATTTATAAAAAAAAATTGAAATCGATCTATGATGTTAATTGATTTGATTAAAAATAATGAGGGATCACTGATACAGTTTTCAGTGATAGGGTTTTACATAAATAATAATCCAAGAATTACTATTACTGGTAATTATAAAATTTTGTTCAAAAATAATGATCAGGATATGATTTTTAAAAATTCCAGATAAAAATTTTATCAGATTTGATTTTGATATTTATTTTTTTAATTATAGTTTTCAAGCTCTAGTATAATTAATTTAGCTAAACAATTAAATAGATTAACAAATTTTATAAACTTCTTAATATGAATAGTTTTTTTGGAACAAATGTATAATAATAATGAATTATTTATTCTGTCATGTTATAAATTGTTTTTTATATTAGCTGTATTAATAAATCCCAATGAATTCAAGTAGTTGCAGTTTGTGATGCGATCCCCCACATTTGCAATTCGACCATTAATAAAGCAAAGGGAGAATCAACACAAGAGAGTGGGCTAAATTTGAACAGCTGTATGTGGTTTATGTATCGAAAAACTGATTTACTTGTTTATACCCCTGAAGGACAAACAAAACATACTGTGCTTCCAAAAACACTTTAATAAACGAATTCTACCTTTTAGTGGTATTATAGAAAATGCTGGGTATTTATACTAAATAAATATAGCTTCAAATCGAATTAAATATTATGCGAAAAAATTCAAAGTTATGAGAAACATACAGGGGCAATATTGACAAAAGTTGATTAAATAAAATAAAAAATCAAGTTTCATGTGCATTATTTAATCTGGGTTTAAACATAGTGTCACTAAATTTATATCAAAAGGACAAACATAACATTCATTTCACCTGTTAGTAGATATTTGGAATCAGCAGAAAAAGCAGCATCCCAGACCCATCTTTGTGTGCCATGTTTCAGTTCCATAACCAAGGAAAAGTTTTCTGTTTCCCACAACCTAGCTGTTTGATCAGCTGAACATGTTACCAAAAGCCTGCATAATCACATGAAATATTTTCAATATTAATCAACAATCAGAAATTTAAATACCATTGAGCACACAAATCTTTATACATTTCTAAGGTTCACAAACAGTGTTAGCAAGACTAAGTCCTTTTGGTTTTTCTATTTATTTTTATATCACTATGATAAACTTCTTATCTGATGAATTAATCACTAAGATGGATTATTTATCCTGTTTGTAATATGTCAACAATTATATTTGTTAACTCTTATTGAAACTAGCTTCTTATTGTGTTTGCTATTGCACTGTGAATATGGAAGACAATATCATTCATTATCGGCATATTTTGTTTTATTTTTTAAAAAGTAAGCGTGGTGCAGAAGCTCATAGGAAATTTTGCAGTATTTATGGAGATGGTACCTTAACTGAACGTACTTATCAAAATTGGTTAGCCAAATTTCATTCAGGAAATTTTGACATCAATGATGCTCAACGGTCTGGTCGCCCATATGAAATTGAAACAAGCAATTTTAAGGCTATTGTTGATCTAAATCCCACCCATCAGTGCAAGAGATTGCTATGGCCTTAAATGTGTCGCACACAAGCGTATAAAACCATTTGCATAAGCTTGGATATGTTTCCAGGCTTAATGTTTGGGTCCCTCACTCTCTTACTGAAGTCAACTTGGCAGCACGCATTTCTGTTTGTGATTCACTACAGAAACGGCAACAAAACGACTCATTTTTGAAAAGGTTGGTAACAGGAGATGAAAAATGGATATTTTACGATAATGTAGTCCATAGAAAATCTTGGGGACCTAGTAGTGAGGCTCCTAGAAGAATGCCAAAACCCGGATTGCATCAAAAGAAGATAATGCTTTCCATATAGTGGAATCCATCCCTATACACCAGAGCTAGCTCCCAGTGACTACCATTTATTCTGGTTTCTGCAGAACTCCATGAATGGAAAGAAATTCCATAAGAAAGAGGACATAAAAACAACTTGGATCAGTTTTTTAACAATAAACTTCAGACATTCTATGAACATGGCATTATGCAGTTAGTGGAAAGATGGGAAAAAGTCATTTTAAATAATGGTCAATATATTGTAGATTAAAATAAATTTTATGTCTATAATATATTGAGTTTTATTATACCAAAAGAACTTATTTGCCAACCCAATACATCAAGAGGCCTAGTTTATAATACTATGTTATGATATAGTTGGTAATATCTCAATGAAATTGATAATTCTTTATTTTTGTTAAAGAAAAAATATGCTTTAATCTCAAAATCTTTATTTTAGAAGTTCGGCTTTATTAAATATTTTCTTCTTCAGTCCAAAGATCCTGCAAAATACTTTGCATAGATTTTCAGATGTTCTTTCTACATTGTAACTAGACACATCTTACACCCATAAAGAATGGAAGGAAGTGTGTAACAGTTAGTCTGCTTAGTTACTTGTGCGTTCTTCTCGTTATCCAATTGTTTTCATTTTTTTTATTAATTTTCTAATTTTCAATTTAATGGATATAAATCCTCTGAACTATTTTCTGGAACCAAAGGGCTGAAGCAAGGGTGTTTTCTGTCTACAAGAATTTTCATGGCTGAGGTAGTGAAGCAATCATACACACACAGAGCATTTTGCAGGACTTGGTTGTAAATTCTTTGCCAGGGCCTCTAACTATAAACCAGCAGTAGAAAATAAGGAAATTAATATCACACCACCCATCCTATGTCTGAATTTCTCTGAAACCCAACTCTTTGAAGACGACTTCAGTAAGGAAGAACTTGAACTTGCTCTGGCACAAACACAGAAGAGAAAAAGCAGTGGTCCTGATGACATATTACCAGAGTTCCTTATTCACCTGGATGCAAAAACCAAGCTCACTGTGCTAGATTTTCTCAAAAGGAAGGCTGAGGTTGTCCTAATTCTGAAGAAAGGTAAATGTTCCTCTTGCCCATCTAACTACTGACTTATATCGCTCACAAGTGTTTTTTCTAAGCTCTACGAGAGAATGGTCCTAGTCCGAGAGAAAACAAGATATCATCAAAGCAAGCAAGTTTCCGAAAGCACCGATATACAACTGACCAGGTGGCTCGTTTTAGTGAGGATGTAAAAGACGGATTCCAAGGCAAAAATACTCTTGCAGTACATGTTGATTTGAAAGCTGCTGCTGACAGAGTCTGCTGGAGAGTTCTTCTGAATAAGCTCCTCAAAATGAATATCAGTGGAAAAACGTACCAAGCCATACGTTCCTTCAGAAGCTTCTCAGAGTAAGATACAATGACTGGTGTTCAGGCTTCAGAACTTTTAGCCAGGGAGTTCTGCAAGGATCTGTTTTGAGCCCCACACTCTTTAATATAATGATTGATGACTTAGCTTGCTGTAATCGAGGGAATACTCGGAATATCTGCACTACTGTTCGCTGATGATCTACTAGTATATGTGACTAGTAGCAACATAACAGCACTCTAAGTAGCAATTAATGAGGCAATGGCAAAACTTTTTACCTGGGCCAAGTGTAATGAAATGGAAGTAAATAAGCAGAAAACTGAGTTCCAACTGTTCACCTTATCAAGTAAAGAGTGCAAGCTGGAAATCATCTATAATAAAGTTCCCTTGCTAAGAACCTATGCAAGAAAATATCTGGGAGTTAGGTTAGATACAAAAATGATCTGAAACAGATCTTCAACAAATCGAAGAGATTGTGGAAAAGGGAGAAAACAAGCTAAAGCTTCTGAAACGCCTTGGAGGAAGACATGGGGGGCCACTCAGGATATGATGTGCCTTGCATATAAAACCTACGTACGTCCAGTCCTGAAATACGGATCTGAGGTCATCTGTACTGCGGCAGATGCATCTCTGAAAAGATTGGATGACCAGCAGAACAAAGCTCTGCGTTTGATTTTGGATGCACCATACTTAACCCCTATTGTAGCTATGGAACTGCAGACCACAGCAGAACCCCTCTCGAAACAGCGTGAGCGAGCTGCAATGCGCCTTCACGAGTGAATGAAAAAATGGACCCAGAGTTTTGAAAAAAATACAAAATCCCCACTCAACAGCTCAAGACACAAAAATTCTTCATGCTGAAGGCCATGGCACTACTTGAAGAAAGAGGGCTTGACTGTGAAGAAGGGGAACCATTTATGCACCCACAGTTACCAATTCATAATCATGAATACAATGCAGAACTGCAACTCCTTCATAATGTGGATAAGAAAGAAACACCTGAATATGAGCTAAAAGCATTAGCACTAGAAACAATAGCTCAAAAGTACCCTCCCCAAGATTGGCACCATAACTATACTGATGGATCAGCTGAACCAGTCGTTAAAAATGCTCGAGCAGGGGTTTACTCAAGGGAATTCCAAATTAGTGCTGCGGTGGGTATAGATGGAACAAATTTCGACGGTGAGATAGCGGTGATCCTCATAGCCTTAAGAACGTTGTCTAGAAGGCGGGACCAGAGTGCTGTTCACTTCATCGACTCTCAAGCAGCCATCCTCTCTGTTAAAAACATGAATGAATGCCTATCTTGTGCACTGCGAGGCACCAATGGGGTCCTCCAGTGGATTCCCAGCCATTGTGGGATTCCGGGAAACGTTGAGGTTGATAGTCTTGCTAAGCGAGGAACAGATTTGCCTCAGCCAATACATCCAAAACCTTACGATTCAATATAGCGAATGTTAAGGATGGTAGAGAAGGAAGAAATTAGAAAAGCACATTTGGCCAAAGTAGAAGGGAAACCAACCTAATAATAATATATTATCAATTAAGCATAAAAAAAAATTTCAAACAAAATATAAAACATTATTTCTGAAAATGACCATATAATAATGTATGTTGAGTTTCTGATTTTGTAACTTAAGAAAACACCTGATCTTGAAATTCCTTTAAAGTTCCAGGCTTCGGTAGTCAATGTCGTATCCATTTGTCCACTCTATGTATATATATATATAATATATATATATATATATATATATATATATATTATGCAATTTTTCTATCATTTAAAAAGTTTAAACTTTGATAATCCAAACAGGCCATGCAATCAACGTGTTCGGATTATCAAGACCATCCAGTAGCATTTTTTTAAATGTTTAAAGCATTTTTTTTACTTAATAAATAATATTTGTAAGATGCGTTTTGTTTATTTCCTATAATAAACATAACAACATTATATATATTTGACGTAACATACTTAGAATCTGGACTGAGGGAGCAAGATAGGGCGTAGCACCGATGTGCTACTATGTGATGCCGAGGACTAAGTTTAGAAGGTCCACATTCAGCAGTAGTAATAGACCAAATGAAGCAACTCCCTTTATTGTTCACAGCAGCCACCATTTTACCTTCAGGATCTATTGATACTGACTGAATCGAGGAATCAGGTTCTGGAATCTGACAAAAAAGTGTAAGTTGTTAGAGAAACAATGATGTTTAATTTTTAGATATTAATATTAAATCTAAAAATATTATACATTATACTAATTAATTATATAATACTATACGAGCCCCACTTTCACTATTACTGTACAGTATATGGGGATCTCGAGGCAAAATTAAAACATTTGATAAATTACTTTGTACGATTTATCTGTGGGAGCCCAAGAAATATGTGTTTCCCATTTTTATGAAGAGTTGAAGTGACTTTATCCTTCCTCTTCTAAGTTATCTAATTCCATTGTCCTTCATACATCTCCAAGCTCATTCCACTCAAATCCTCTATTCGTTCCCAGAGTACTCATTCCCAGTCTTCATATTCATATACAAGGTTACACAAACCACTGCTTTCAACGGATCGTTCATTATCCGATCCTCATTCCTATGGAACTCCATCCCATCCTACATTCGTCACTCCAATACCCTCCCTATCTTTAAATCTCGCCTATTCAATCATTTCTGATCCATCCAGTCTCCATAAAATTGTAAATAGATATTGCTGTAAATATTTATATAAATTATTAGAGCGTTCTTAATTATTTTTACTTTATGCTTTAAAAAACAAAAATTATTATTATTAAGTGATTAAAGTCAGAAAGTAATTAATAATTTTTTTTTATTGACTGTTTATTTACTTTATGATTATTCTTTATATATCTCTGAGATTCCATAGCCCACATTTCTATCTTTCTATATTATTCTAAAGGGACTCGTCCCAAAATAAATAAAGTATTATTACATTATTATTATTAAATCTTCAAACAAAACACTAAAATAAAGTCATCCATGGTAAATGCACCAGTGATAGACACTTTTCAACTCATTGATAGATAATAAGCTTTATACACCATCTAGATATTGCAAATACAAGTAGATTTGTAGTTAAAACACTTAGGAAGGTGATGCCCAAACCTCCAGTAATTTCATGCCACAATAGACGATTCCCAGTTGATTTTTCAATGAAGGATGGCTGAATGTTTGTTTTAGGGAGATTCTCTTATCACTTTTCTTTAGGAGATAAGTTTGAATTTTATTTTAGTTTAAAAATGTGCATTATTTCTATTTTGGGGTTTTTAATTATATAAAAAATCTGTTATCCCCAAAACTTGGGAATCTATTATCTATCTATTACTGGTACCATATGCAATGTAAGATTTTCTTAAGTTTTTATGAATAATAAAATCGACAAAAGACAGAATTTACTGTAAATTTAATCCACTTGTAAATATCCACCGTTAGAACAAAGTTATGGTTCACATTAATATTGAAAATTTCTCTTAAAGTGTCTATTACCGATGCATTTACCTAAAATGTTAAATAAATCCTTCACTCAGAGATAAGAATCAGTTAATCCCAATTATCTTACCAACTGTTCATTGTGGTCTGTTTTCAGATCCCAAAGATGAATAATTCCTCCTTGATCTCCAACAATCAGCTCAGATTGATTAGGATGGAGACAAACACAATTAACAGGAGAACTAACCTGAAATATTCTTTGGCACTGAAGATTTTTGGATCTGAAACAAGCTCATTTAAGAATAGAAAAGACAAAGAGGTTTTGATAAAATAAAAATATAAAGTTGATTAAATGATCGTAGCTACCTCAGATCCCAAATGCGAGCACTGCAATCTTCTCCTCCTGTAAACATCCATTTTCCTTCTTCATGAAAACCAACACTACTAACATTTTTAGTCATCCCTTCATAATTAATAACTGGGCTAGTACTGTTGGACATCAAGTCATACATACGAATATGCTGATGACCTATTATAAGAAAAATATAATAATCGTAATCACCTAATATTCAGTGAACTTAATGTTTCTATTACATTTTAAATTAATAATTGAAATAAAATAAATAAACGAGGATAAAATAAAATGCCTGAATATCTAAGAACTTAGTGGGTTATTTGAGTATCAAACTTTCTGACCATATCAAAAATAATTAAATAAAAAGTAAATTTGTGGTATTACATTAAAGGACCAATACGCAACTTCAAACTAATCAGTTGCTGCTGTGTAAGTTAGAATATGTTATCAGTCACAGATTGATCTGAACAATAATAATTTTTTCTCAAAAGCAGATTATTAATTTTGCCAAGTAGTTATTCATTAATTATTACATGACTGAGTGAGCTTCTTCCAGACTTTATATATTTTCTAATTTAATGTAAGAGATCCAACAATTAATCTCTATTTATAGAATCAGATCATAAGATCATCAACAGTCTTTGTGCTACAACATGAAATTATAATAAACTTTATTCATATATTACACCCAGAGCTATATATGAAATTTTAACTTTTATTTTTAATCAGTTCAATCAATATGACTGAATTCATTATTTTCAATTTCTTTTTTATTATTTTGGTACTAGAACATTTTTCCTTGCAATTTTAAAATAAAGGTTTAACAGAACTTTTAGTTTTAACAATTTTTTATTTAAAGGTTCTGTTGATTGTGCCAAAATGTTGATCTACAAAATATTAAAAGTTTGTAGTTAGTATGTTTGTATTAACTATGCAGTGTTCCCAATTCTAATATTTCTGACTCCTATAACAGTTATGCTTTACAGAAAATGTCAACTGTAATTTCATAGATGTTAGGCTGTGACCAGTATCTACTTGGAAGATTTCAGTGATAAGTAAGAAACGTAAGGATACACCCTTATATCTAATAAATCCGAAAAACTTAAATAAGTCGAAACACAGTGGCGTAATCTCAAAATGGAGGTAATTATAAAAATCAATGGCTCCGGAAACATAAGAATACACCCTTATATCAAATAAATCCAAAAAAACTTAAGTAAGTCGAACACAGTGGCGTAATCTTAAAATGGAGGTCATTTTCAAAATCTACGGCTTTGAAAACATTAGAATACACCCTTATATCAAATAAATCTGAAAAACTTAAATAAATCAAAACACAGTGGCGTAATCTAAAAATGGAGGTCATTTTCAAAATCTATGGCTTCGGAAACATAAATATACACCCTTATATAGAAAAAAATCCGAAAAACTTAAATAAGTCGAAACGCAGTTGCGTAATATTAAAATGGAGGTCATTTTCAAAGTTTATGGCCCTGGAAACATTTAAGTAAAAGGTGATTTTCAACAACTACTCATAACTGATAACTGACTCATGCATCGAGAAATTAAAAATAATTAAATAAATAAAAAAAGGTTGAATTTTACATGGAAAAAGTTTAATTTGAAATGGAAAAGGTTGAATTTGACTTTGAAAAGAGTGAAATTGACTTGGAAATACTATTATATATTAACATAATAACAGCAAAAAGAGAATTCTTCAAAGAAAAGTTACAAACTATAGAGGAAAACTGGCAGACTGGAAATATATGCAAATTCTTTGCAGATATCAGGAAAGAAAGGGTAGGATACAAAGCGAGAAACACACAAATGTGAGGGAAAGATGGCAAATTGAGGGCATGAAAAGAAAAGATCCTAAGCATCTGGAAGGACACTTTCAACAGCTCCTCAATCAAGGGCACTCCACAAACGAACAAGACATGGACCACAATGAGGACATCGACCCACCTGAGGTTGAAAAATCAGATATTCTGAATGTGGAAATAACTATTGACAGGCTTAAAAGAAGAAAGGCTCCAGTGATGGACAACCTACCATCAGAATTGTTCAAGGATGGGGAAGAACACCTCAGAGCCAAGCTACTAGAACTAATCCAGAAAATATGGGAAGAGGAACGGATACCAGAAGCCTGAAACACAGTGCTGATCTGTCCTATCCTTGAGAAGGGCTTTATGTATGGATATGGTAATTATAGAGACAAAGCACTTCTTCTGGTTGTCTACAAGACAATGAATAATATTCTGTTAAGCCGGATATATGCGTATTATGAAAACTTAATAGGCGACCACCAAGTAGGATTCAGGAGAGCAAGAAGTACGATAGACCAGATATTCATCCTAAACCAAGCACTCGAAAAACGATGGGAAGTAGATCAGGACACCTTAAGGTACTATTTCGCTAGCGCGGTCCACGACCGCGACTGCTCGCGGTTGAACACTGCTTTAGTGGATTAGAAAGGAACCTATTTCGCTGGTGCTGCTCGGCAGTTTAGGTATGACATCATATCATAGCTGCTCATATCTGACTCCTCTTGAAGCGGTGGAGCTGTTGGCGGTTGTAGGTTATGTTATCATATCAGAGCATTGTTTTTATGATAACAGTCACGTCGATACATTTTATTTCCTATGTTACTTTCAAGTCTGGCAAAATTATAACAAATATTGTTTAAAACTGAAACAATGCAATAGTAAATTATTTTTTTAATGTTGAAGTAACAAGATTATTTATTTATTTATTCCACCAGCGATATTTTACAGCGAAATACAAATATACCTAAATCCAAACGATATTAATTGAATTAAAGAACCCAACAAATTTTATCGTCAGGTAAATACTAAAATCCACCCATTGAAAAATCGATTTGTATTTTTTAATTAAAGTGGTAATTTACTAATTACTATTGATAAAACTATAAAACATCGCCTGCTGGGATTTAATTACAAATATATGATATTTATTACTAATCAATTATGTATTAATTACTGTTACTTATCAAACAACTAATATCTAATGTCAGAGGGACTATTGTTGTTAGTCCTGCATTTCCCGCCTTTTTGTTCTTTTTTAGTTGTTCATCTAGACAATAGCAAACAATGTCCAAGAAGAGATTTGATGATGAGCATCTCATCGAAATACTGATATTCCTTCTCTTTATGAACAACATTTTCTCTTCTTTTTCCTCCTCAGATAAAAAAGCGGTAATCAGAGATGTTCATTTTTATTATTATAGGATGTCCATCTTTTTATCTTCGAAGATACAATGAAATGTTCATAGGTTATAGGAAGGTTATAACAACCCCAGTGAGCAGTTTCAGCAAAATAGCTATGCCAACAGCAGTTGGCAGCGTGGAATAGTGGTCGCTGTCGTTGACCGGGTCAGTGAAATAGTACCTTTCCACACCTTATTTGTTGACTTCAAATCAGCCTATGACTCAGTAGACAGAAACTGTAATTAGAAGATTATGAATGAGCTGGGTGTTCCCAAAAAGTTAGTGAGGTTACAAACGATCCTAAATCCAGAATACTAATACAAGGAGAAGTATCGGAAGGCTTTGAAGTTCGAACCATAGGTTTGAGGCAGGGAAATGGACCCTCGCAAATGCTGTTCAACTTAGCTCTTGAGAAACTAATAAGAACAACATCACGCAAAGATGCAGGGGTGCATGTTGGAATGACATCAAATCCTAGCATATGCGGATGATATAGCTGTCCTTAGAAGCAATCAAGAGAATATTGAGAGGCTCGCTTGGTCTCTGTTGAGAACAATAGCACATTGGGTTACAAGTCAATGAAGAGAAAACAGAATATATGATAGTTAGCCAAAAAATCCACCATAATATGATCTGCATGGACTCTTAAGTCATTCTCGAAAGTAGTAGAAAAATCTCCAGAAAAAAGCCAGTCTGCTGTACGGCTGTGAAACCTGGGCTCTAGCCGGCACCTTAGAAAGCCGAATTTTGGAAAAAGAATTTCCATTACCTTTCACAAAGCATTGTGAGTAGGTATAATTTGTTTTTTGTTTTTCTCAACTTCTGCTTTTCCTATTCATAAGATTGTATTTCTTTAAAATGTGTTTTGCTTTATACTTATATTCGACATACTCCTCTCTATGTGTATATGTATATATATATATATATATATATATATATGTATATATTTTTTTTTCTTCCCTTAATCTATCGCTCCATAGGTAGATCACAATACTTGTCTAGTTTTTCACAATATGTTTAGATGTATTCACTTAAACTTCTTAAGCAACAGATGTAAATCATTTATTTATTCAAGTTATTATTATTTTTTTCCCCTATCAGTTGAGATTTAAACCTTAATTAACTACAATTAGATAATGAATTATTACTTTTGCTAACTCAAAAGGAACAAATGAATCCCAGTACTAATGTACAAATGTCACTCCTCCTTCATCGGAGCCACAAGATCTCATGATCACACAATGAAATTCCGAAAATAGCTGAGTGTTTGGGAGTGAATAAACCATTTGGTAAGGTCTGACCTCCACTGAAAATTATCCGTTGGTGGTCTGTTGAACTCTTTAGAGTGAGCGGGAGTAGAATACAGGTAATCAGCCCAAATGGTAACTGAAAAGGTTGTACTGTAAATAAGCCAATCTTTGGCCACATTTCTCTTCAAGCGAATTATTCTCAGAATCACATTTACATGCCGAACAAGAGATCTTGGTTCACTGCACAAGGTTGAGTGACATATTTGTATAGTGATACCCAAACCCTCAACATCTTTCATTCTTATCAGTTGTGATCAGAGCTTTATCAAGTGGTTAAGCTGCCCCTATCTATTATACTACTCAGCCATTTTATAAATTGGATCTACAGCATGATCATATGATCCTGTGTTATGGTAATAATAACACCCTTTTAAGAAGGCAAGGTTATCTAACTAATATAAATATTTATACCTGCTGCTGCTAGTAGCTGTTTATCAGGTGTGATCGCTAAGGCATTAACTTGCTGAAATTAAACAGAAAACTTAATGACACTATGGAAAGGAGTGCAAAAACAAAGAAGAAAACTGAATTTAAAAACAATTAGAAAATTAATGTTTCCAAAAAAATGTTCAAAATAAAATTTAATCATAAATTTATAAAAAAGCAAAACAATAAATACATTCATTTTAAGAAACAAAACTTACAGACTCAGTGTGTTGCGCTGTATGCCTACAAACACCCGAATTTACTTGCCATAATTTAATAGTATGATCATACCCTCCTGTAGCTAATATTACTTGGTCAGAGTTGCTTGAATTGGTCATGCTGAAAAGTCTATAACTGCTTAGGCTATATATAGTAATATATTTATATGTATATATAATTCTTCAATAATTAAAAAGTGTGAAAACCAAGTGATTCGATTTCATATTTTTGAATGCTCAGCTTTGAAAAATGTAAATAATGATAACATTAATCGATTTCAACTTTATCCCCAAAGTTCCGATTGTTACAAAGAGCTATAAGCTGCAATTAGTCCAAGTTACCTTTCTTAAATGATATATAGGATAAGTTTTTAACTTTGTGCTGAACTCATCGATAACAATGGAAATCTACCATACTGTTTGTAAAATCATCGATGGTTTTCAGCGCCTCTGTTTGTTCATCGATTGAAACATTTAAGACCTAGCGGGTTCCATAGGCTCTGTGGTTGATATGTCCGCTGGATATCACCTCATTAAAACTACATGGCTATTGTTTTTTCAATTTCTTTTACATTTTTATATTCAGTTTACTTTCTATTTATGTTTTGAAATTAAACATTTCAATTGTTAGATATTCCCTAATATATACATATATATATTTTTTTATATGAATGTTGACTTTCCTCTGGAATCCATCTGGTATTCTTTAAGCTTGGCATAAATTGCTTAAAAAACAAATAGTAAGCTGATTTCCTTGAAGTTGAAGTAGATAAAGAATAATGGTACTACATCAATAAAAACCCTCATACCACTAACTGCGGAGACCTTCCAACGAAATGAACATTTCTACTACCTCCAACACTGAATAGTAAAACGGTGTCATCTTTATGCATAAATCCATAACTTTTTTTCCTTATTTTTCTCGCGTTTAAGGCTGTGCGGGTTTGTTCCAAGCCAGAGGAGAGAGCGGAAGAATTATGGCAGAGTTAAAAGTCTCGCCGGAATCGGGATTGAATTCATAATTTTCGGTTTATCAGGTTGCCGGATAACGAGTACTTTACAGACTTTTTAGCCCGTTCCTTCATAAAGCCATACAATGAAAGTCCTATATAAGAGTCGATTCTCCTCCATTGTTTTCAAAATTTTTCTTCGCCATGTCTTCAAGATCGACCTGACCTACCTCCCTCTCCCTTGGAATGGCGAAAGAAATCCGGTTGTTCGACACCTCTTTTCAGCTAGATGAAAAATTTTGTATGACTGATGTCATCTATGTGGATGTCTTATAGCATATACTCGTTCCACCTTTCTTGCACATCTGCGCACTGATCATAAATATAACTATTAATAATTATAAGGAACTTATACATATTATAACTTATAAAGGATGGGCTGGAACCATTAAAGTTCATAACAGTTCCAGTTCTGCCGTTGGAACAATTTTCCTTAATGGTTTCAGGTCCAAACCTTCTTTACCGAGTTACCTACTTAAATAGTAGGCTAAATGGTATTTACATTTATATGTTAGTCGTAAGTGTCATGGCCGAAACTGAGGTTCTATATTCGTATCGTTCCGTCTTTGCTAGTTTGTTATGTGCTTATTATCTCAAATCCTGTTCTCAGACTTTGTAAACAGTGAGTTTATAAACAATTTAACATTTTTACATTACAATCAGTGAGGTGAGTGACTTTTATTAACAATTAGCAACATTAAATTGGTACTCGATTGCTAGAGACAGTTTACGTGGCAGATAATTCCCCTCAGCGGGTCTTATCTTTCAAATTCAAGGTCACGGCGCTTTATTTTACGTTCAGAATATCTTGAGTTCGTACCTAAGACAGTATATATTTTTTTTTTCTCTCTGTTTTTATTTCTTAATTGATTATTTTATTTTAATATTTTTTTTTCTACTGAGACTCTATTTTATTTATTTATAAAAATGTTTTTTTTAATATTTGTATATATATTTGTAAATAGATTAGTTATTAAGTATTTGTTTTGTAAATTTTCTTATTAGTGATACTTTTTTTTTTCTCTCTCTTCTTTTTGTATATATTATTATTTAGAGGTATGGATTCTGATAAGAACATTTCTTTTGACGAATCAGATGAAGAGACTCCTTTCTCCGAAATCAGTGAGACTGATTCTCAATATTTAACAAGGCGAACTCTCCAAAAGCGCCATAGAAACTCTGCCCCCGGTTCAGCGGGCAACTCACCTAATAAAAAAAAAAACAAATCCGCTAAAACAAAGCAAGCTCTCAAAGTAAATAAACAATCAAAAACTAGTAATAATTCAGCTATGAAACCTGACACTAAACCATCAACTAACACATCCAGTAACAATTCTGTTACAGCCAATAATAAAATTAACGAAATCACTGAACCTAGAACTTTCACTGAACCAGTGCCACCTCCGATTTATGTAAGCAAGATTGACAATTTCATTCAGTTCGGTCAAGAAATAGCTAATCTGATCGGACCGACCAACTTCCGGTGTTTTTCTCGAGTCAACGATATAAAGATTAACACCAATACTAAAGATGATTATAAAAAACTTATAAATCATTTGACAGCACTCAATCACGACTTCCACTGCTATCAACTAAAAGAAGACAAAACATATAGAGTGGTTTTGAGAGGTCTTCACTCTACCACACCCACTACCGCTATAAAAAAAGATCTGGAAGATATCGGCCATTCGGTAAGACATATATCTTCTATTTTACATCCTATTGATAAATATCCACTGCCATTATTTTTCATCGATCTAGAACCAGCCCGGAATAATGCATAAATCTTCGAAGTTAAAAGACTGCTGTATTCTGTTGTAAAATTTGAAGAGCCGAGGCAGAAACCAATAGTCGTTCAATGCACCAAGTGCCAAAACTTAGGGCATACAAAGGCTTACTGCCATCACTCGGTGCGTTGCGTTAAATGCGCCGGACCTCACGCCTCTAACACCTGCCAGAAACCGTTAAATGAACCACCAAAATGTGCCCTTTGTGGTGAGGACCACCCTGCAACCTATCGGGGCTGCATTATCTATAAGAAGCTATATAAGCAAAGAACTTATAATTTATCATTAAAAGAAGAACAGAAGAATTCTACCCAGGCACAGGTACAGGCACCTGAACTCCTAAATTTGGCAGCGTTTCCTCAACTGCCGAACGAAATAATACCACAATTGACGCACAACCCTTCTACATCAACAGATCATCCCCATCAAGACTCTAGGCACCTATATTCAGACACTACGGTGAAGAATCAACAGCCGCGACGTCAGACGCCTCAGATTTCCAAAACTAAGACTCAGGCTTCCAAACCTAAGATCCAGACCTCCCAATCCAAGACTCAAATCTCCCACATTCATTCAAAATCTCCACGTCAGCAAATGCCTCCTCACCAGATACCTATACGTGTAAAATTACCGCCCGAACATCCAACTCCTGTTTATTCCCACCCTACTGCTCATATTTACTCTCCTTCCCAAGTTCCAAGGGTACATCCTTCATCAGACACTCCTTATCATAAGATCTTTCCCTCACGAACTCCTAATCAAAACCAACCTGACCAACAAAACCCGATCGATTTAATAAACTCCACCCTTGCGTCCTTCCTGAAAGATCTCCAAGAGACTATCAAGCCACTAATTACCCTCCTCACAAGAATCCTTACCGAAATTCCCTTCAATCTCTCACGATGAGCACTAAGCCCCTAGCTGTTCTTTTATGGAATGCTAACGGACTACAAAACCACCGAGACGAACTCGACATTTTTCTTCATGACTATCACATTGATATTGCTCTACTGACAGAAACTCACTTCACTCGACGTTCATATTTCTACATACGTGACTATATCACTTATAGATCAGACCACCCCGACAACACTTCCCATGCCGGTTCTTGCATCCTTATCCATAAATCCTTATCCCATTCTCTCATTCCTTCTACTCCAACAGAGGCTATTCAAGCAACCTCGGTTATCATTTCAACTCGTCCTTTCCATTTAACATTCTCAGCTGTATACTGTCCTCCCGGTCATACTCTTACCTATAACTTACTTGAATCCTTATTTCAATCCTTCGGATCGCGCTTTATTGCTGGAGGAGACTACAATGCTAAACACCAACGATGGGGTTGTCGATCATCCAACTCCCGTGGTAACATACTATCTTCTGTCTCAACTTCCAATAGTTACTCTGTCCTCTCTCCTATGAATCCTACCTATTGGCCAACATCCCTCAAAAAACGCCCTGATATCCTCGACATATTTGTCACCTCCCAAATTTCCTCTTCCCATGTCACAATAAAATCCCTGGATGACCTCTCTTCAGATCATTCTCCAGTTCTGCTTTCATTACACACAACCTTCGCTCCTAAGCCCTCGTCCTCTCCTACACTAATTACAGGACGAGTAAACTGGGACAATTTTCGTAAAGACCTGGAAAATAAATTGGACCTAAATATTCCACTTAAGACGAAACGTGATATTGACACAGCCATAAAAGAACTTACTACATCTATAAGTGACAAAATAAAGAATAATACATCTACCAATAAAACTGACAACTCCCAACAGACAAATTTGCCGCAGCATATTCGTATCTTATTAAGGGAAAAACGCAGAGCAAGATCGAAGTGGCACAGGACTAGATATCCATCAGATAAGACATATTACAACAAATTAACTAACCAACTAAAAGCTGAAATTAGAAAATACAAAGTTCAAAATTTACATAACATGACAGAAAAACTTACTACTTGTGACAAATCACTATGGTTGACCACTAAAAAACTCCTTAAATTCAAAGATTTTAACCACCCACTTATTACTGAAACCCAAACCTGGTCCAGATCTGATGATGAAAAATCTCAAATATTTGCTCAACACCTCTCAAAAACATTTAATCCACACCCAGACATCCTTAATCCAACCCACCTTGAGTTTATTGAAGCAGAATTGGATACCCCACTCCAATTGACTCCTCCACCTAAAGCATTTCATCCTTCAGAAATATCCAATATCATTAATAGATTACCTTCTCGCAAAGCTCCTGGCCATGACCTAATCACCTCCCAGATCCTAAAATGTCTTCCTAAAAAAGCCATATTGTTCCTAACCTATATATTTAATGCTGTACTCCGCACCACATATTTTCCTGACTCTTGGAAACTATCCATTGTCAAAATGATACCTAAACCCACAAAGCCGCCAGAACACCCATCCTCTTACCGTCCTATCTCCC